TTAAGTAAGTAATATAAATTATATTAATTAGCCTAGCTAGGGCATGGTTTATATAAAATTAAAATATTACTAGTGTATTTACTAGTTTAAAAGGTATAACTTAATATTTATAAAAACTAAAGCGTGTTTTAAATACTATTTTTTACTTATTTTTTTTATAAATTTAAAGCCTGTGGTATGTATTATGTAAATTAAGTTATATAAAAATCTTTTTTATTTTTAAATAATTAAAAGTTATATTAAGTAATAATAAGGGGTATATATTTTTAATTATAATAATATTTAGGCCTTAATAATTAATATAAAAATATAAGTTATTATTTTTTTTTAGTATAAATAGCACTAGAGCTCCCGCAAGGCTTTTTAATAAATATATTTAATTTTTTTAGGGCTTTTTTAATATATTCGCGTAGGACCTTAAGCTTTTTTAAAAATAATAAATAAATATACTTACTTAAAGGCTTAGCACTAGGTTATAACTTAATTATATAATTATATAAGTAATAAAATATAAAAATATTTACCTTTACTTTAAAAAATATATTTATATATTTATAGTATTATTTAGGTAGCAGGATTTTTTTAACCTTTACCTTATTAAGGTGTATTATAACATGGTTTTCTTACTTAAAAATCTATATTAAAAGTACTTTAACTTTTGTAGTAATTTTTATAGCGTATTTTTATATTATTATTATATATTATAAGTATTTAAAATTATATTTTACTTTTTAATTATATATTTAATTACTAGTATATTAATTTAAAATAGGTATTATAGCTAAAAGTTATAAAAACCTTAAAATTATATTATAATTATTAATATTAATAGCTTTAAAGTTTTACTAGTAGTATTATATATTATATATAAAATTTTTAGTATAAACTATAAGTATATATTTTTTATAAAATATTACTATATGGCTATTAATTATATGTATTTTATAAGCTAATTTTTTATTTTATATAARATAAGACTTTACCCAGCGCTAGTTTATAAAATTTACTTTTATTTTAAAATTAATAAAAACTCTTATATATTATTATTTTTTATTTTTTTATTTTATTTTTACCTAGATTACCTAGGCCCATAGCATACTTTTTTATTTTATATAAATTTTTAAAGCTTGCACCGCGTAAAGCTTTAAGGTTTTATATTTTTTATATTACTAAATTTACTTAAAAATTACTATTATAAAGGTGCTTTTTCTTTTTAACCCTTGCCTGGTAACTAGTAATATTATTTAAAATATTTAATATAGTTATAGTTTAGGTATTTGCCTGGGTATAGCTTTTTTATAAATAAGTTATTACTTAAATTACTAGGCTATTTTATGCTAGTGTTTACCTTTATACCTTTTTTAAAAATAAATAGTACTTTAACTTTTATTATTAATAGCCTAGCGTGTGTTTAGTTTAAGAATTTTTATTTTTTTTTATAATAATTTTTTTTTATTTAGGCATGTTATTTTTAACGCTAGTTAAATATAATATATAGTTTTTATAGCGTTTTGGTTCTTAGTATTTATAAATAAAAAAAWTTTTTTATATATTTTTTAGGATTTTTTAATATAGGTGTTTTTTATACTAGTTATCCCTATATTTATAAGGTAAGTGTTTCTTAATTTAATTTAGTAATTATATAAATTACCTAATAATTTACCATGGTTACTATTTTATATTACCTTATTTAATAAGTAAATTATTAACAAGCACTGTTTTATTATTAATTATTTTAATTAGGGTATTAAAAATTTTTTTTTAAATAAATATAGGTTTTGCCTTGCGAATATTAAACTATTTATATTAATAATTTTTTGCTAAAAATTTAATAAACTAAAATATTTTATAACTATTATTAGAATAGTAGGTTAGAAAGGTTTTAAAATATATTTTTATATTTAATTTTTAATTATTAAATTTCTTAATATTATTTACTTAGTATGGTTTTGTAAATAATAATTTTTTTAAAAAATTTTTTTTAAGGCACGTAGTTACTATTATAATTAATTTTATAATGGTTTTTTTAAGATTTGCAAGGGTATTAAAGTCTATTTAATAAAAAATTATTAATTACTTAATAAATTAAATAGGGGTATTATATATTTATTAATTAGCTTTAGCTATTATAATTTACTAGTATGCCTTTTTAATTTAAGCATGAATTTATTAATATTTTTTTTTTTTATAATATTCTTATTTTTATAATTTTTTTTTTACTAAAATTATATTTAGTATTGCCTGTAGTTTTTTAGTAGTTTTTTTATTACTTTTATTTTTATGCCCCTAAGCAGGTGCTTTATATTTTAATATTTTTTATATAATTTAATTTTTATTAGCAGGGGTGCCCTTAAGTTTTTTTAGTTAAAAGTTTATAAATTTTTTTTAAGCATGTTAGTTAGTTATTAAGTTAGGGTTTATAATTACTTTTTTAAAGTATTATTTACTAGCCCTTAGGATTAAGTTTACTACTTAATTATTATATAAAATAAGTTTTTTTTTTAAAAAAAAAGTAATTAAAACTATAAAGCGCTTTTATATATTATATTAAGTTTAAAAAAATATAAATTACTATAATAAAAAAGTATTATATATTTATAGTAAAAACTAATTACTAATTTTTTAAGTTAGAGTTTTAAGTTAAACTTAATATTTTATATATTATATAATTAACCGCTGCCTTGGCGCGCGGTTAGATTAGTGCTAAAGTTTTTTTATTAGGCGGCCTTAGGCCGCTGGATTACGCTATTGCAACACTGCGCAGTTGCAATACCATAGTGGTGATAACATTATTAAAAAAATATTAAGAGTAATATTAAATTAAGTTTAAATAAGTTTAATATATTACTTAATAATATTTTTATACTTACTTTTTTTAGTAAATATAGGTCTAGTAAAACTTAGTATTTTTATTATAAAAGTAAGTTACCTACTTTTTTTTATTTATTACTTTCCTTATAAAAATTAGGTTAAAGTAAATTTAATTAAATAGTACAATAGCAGGATTTTTAAACCTTTTAAATATTTATTAAGGGGCCTATTTATATTTATAAGTATTATTTTATTAACGTAGTTAAAAACTAGTAATTTTAACTTTTTTAATTATAATAAATAAGTATTAAGATATTTTATTATTAATATAGCCTAGGCGCTAATAAAAAGTTTTAAAATTTTTTTAATATAAATTTTTTAAATTAAAATTTTAACTTTTTATTAAGTTGAGGTATTAGCCTTTTTTTAATACTTTAATTTTTTTTAAACATAACTATTTAAAAACTAAATAAGTGATTTCTAAAATAAAATATTAGTTTATTATTTTTAGTAATTAAAGTATTAAAATAAAAAAGCTTTTTAAGCTTTTTTTAACTTTTTTTTATTTTTAAAAATTTATTTATTCTTGGCCCTTACCTTTTAAAATTTTTTTTATTATATTTATTATTTTTATTAAGTACTTTATTAACCTTTTTATTTATTTTTCTTAGGTTTATATTATAGCTTTTTTTATAATTATATAAAGTATTAATATTACTTTACTACTTAAAAATAGGTATATAAATAAAAAGGCTTGTTATTAATAGGTACTATTTTAAAAAAAAAAAATAATTTTTTATTAAAAGTTATAAAGGCTACTACTTTAATAAAGTTTTTAAAAAAGCTATTAATTATAAAAAATATTATGAATATTTAAATATAAACTAAAGGTAAAAAACTAAATTAATACCCTTTTAATTTAATTAGTTAGTATTTCATTTTATATAAAAGTTTAAATACTTACTAATTATTTATAGGAAAGTTATATTAACTATTTTATTTTTTAATTTAGGTTTATTAAAATATTTAATTTTTTAATAGGTATTTTTATTATTTTAAAGCTAATTATTAATTTTACCTTATTAAATCAAAGTATTTAAGGCTATAAAATAATTATTAAATATTTTGAATTTAATTTTAAAATTACTTAAAGTAAACTATTACTTTAATTTAATTAAAACCATTATAATAAGGTTATTTTTAATAAGTTATTAAATAAAAATATTAATAATTTTTTAAATTTTAATATAATAATACCTTACGCTAAGCTAGCATTTATTATATATTTTAAAAACCTTTTTACTTATATTTTTAAAAGGTAACTTAAAATAAAAAAAGATTTTTTTTTCAAAAAAATATTTAAATTAAAAAACTTCTAAACTTTTATTATTTGTAAAAAAAAAATTAATTATACCAAGCTAGCTAGTTATTCCTAAACTTAAAAATAATTTTTATATTTATAATATTATTAATAAAGCTTATAATAACTTTTAAATTAAGTATAAAAGTTAAAAAATAATTAATATTTATTTTAATTTAATAAAAAAAAATAATTAATTATAAAGGGCTTGGTACGGCTTTAGGGCGTGTATTTAAAAATATAAATAACTTTAAAATATTTAAAAAAGGTAAAAATTTAATAAGCTAAATTATTAAATTAATATCCAGGCTTATAATTAAAAGGCCCTTTATATATTATATTAATTAATAAAGCTATTAATTAAATACTATAAAAAATAAAATAAAAAGTAAGTTATTTTATAAAAGCTAAAGCTACCTAGGGGTTTATATAAATATTTTAAGCTTTTAAAAACTTTTTAAAAATTAATTTTTTATTAAAATAGTAAGGCTTTACTTACCTTATTATTTTACCTTACTTTGCTATACTAACGCGGCATGTAAAGGCGTTAACAAATAAGAACTCCACTAAACTCCACCTTTGGCTAACAGAGATGCAAGTGGTTGCTGATTACGAGGCCAAACTCTTAAGGAGTTCTGGGGAAGCGGATCGTTGCCTGATGCACTGATACTTTCAACCAAGGACCGGGAAGTTCGACATACCTAAACACTCCCCTCGCTTGCATTATAGAGTCAATTGAGCTTCACAAAACTACAAAGACCTGCGCCAAAAGAGAGTCCATTAAACTTGGCGCGTAAGTTAAAGTCAAAGGATATCGGACAAGACAAGCCTAAGGTAGCCCTTGTGTAGATAGCGCACGGCCCTCTCTCCATTTGGCATGATCCACCCCTATCTCCCCCTGACCAGCAGTCGACGGCCTACTGGTTCTCTCATGTCCCCCCAAACCAGGAGCACTCATTTCCTTTCTCACATCCGTATCTCCCGCGTCCCGTCCAAGAATACTTTCTTGGCTGCCATGTTCGACAACGGTCTCGAATATAGATGCATTCTCCATACGTTGTAGGCGGATGCCAGAATGTGTGGGCTCCGCTCTGCCGAAGTGATGGTGCGAGCTCCTTGAATTATACTTGTAGGATGTTTGGAGTGGGTGGAAGATGGCGCTGTAGCATTGCGGCATTGTTGGGACGGAGGCGCAGATTATGATCAGGTACATCTGTGGTGCATCGTGTATAAGCTTGCGGACGGAATTTCTTCGATCTGTTGGCTGAGGCATACCTCAATTCTGTACTTGCCGTTAGCATTGCCAGACACTGAGGTGAAGAGTTGGCATGGTTGACTTACATGTACCATCTGATGATCGCCCGCCAGGTCCCTACCCGTCAGACGATGGTCAGCAAACGCTGGAAGCTAAGTATCTTGTGCTGCGTAAAGGGAGGTACACAATGACTTTGCTACACATACAGGTGATATCATCATGGGCGATCAGCTTGTCCAGAAGAAAGCACTTGAATCCGGTTGCCCACCCTGCACTACCACTTTCAATTAGCATTGCATGTGCAACGAGGACTGTCTGGATTGCGATGGATGGCGTACACTATCCCCGTCCCCAGAGTGGCAATGACCCCGACTTTCTTCAGCAGTGGGAGCTGGACATTGCGAAATATCAGAACAGGGAACAGGGCGAGCGCCCAGTCGACAAAGGCATTGAATGCTGCAGGGACCCTGTCAGCAATTCGTCCTGGTAAAGGACGACTGGTGAATAAAGAGGGTATTGCAAACCAGACTGCGATACCCCGGCAACCAATTGAAACCTAGGGCTAAGACAAGTACCCTCCGTCCCAGGAAGCCATATCTTCTTTGTCGGTCGGCAGATGCCAATTATCGCAATAATCCCGACGATGTTCCACGCGATCGAGACGAAGGTAAGAGCGTACAGGAACCATTTTTGCCATGGCTTTACAGAGAGCGAGAGGAGACGGAGGAGAAAGATCACGACTGAGACTTTGCCGGTCACTGCACTGACAACGGAGAAGACGGGTGCGATGGTGGTGTATTTAGCTGCGATTATGCGGTCGCTTGGTTTCGGGATGTCGTCCATGTGTTTTCCGAGACCGTGAGACACTGCGATCTGCGTTAAAGACGAGCAGACGATTGCGTTTAGCTGGTTGAGTTGTTGTTGTTAGTTGGATGAGGTTTATGGTTTATCAGGCTGTGAGGTTGAGAGGAATATACCAAGGCAACCGCGATGAAAAAATCATCCCATCCTCGATGCCGAGTCAAAAAGACGCGGGTGTAAAGACGTAGAACAACGAGGACAATGGAGAGACTCCCCATTGTCCATGAGATCGCCTCGATACTGACTGACTGGTCGGGACCCATCGTTCCAGCAAAATACGGGCCGGAGTCACAGAACGGGTCTAAGTATGCAGGGGCAAAAGTATATTTGAGCCTCGGGAAACGCGTTCCCTATGTATAAGCCGTCGATGGCTAGGTCGAAAGGCGTCAGCTACACTGGCAAAAGCCCATGTCCAATCCTAACAACAGACAGCGCCAACAATACTCGTGGTTGATTCCTGGATTGACAGGTCAACCGTGTATAAAGTATGCCATAAACCTGAGACAATCCCTGAATGAAACCAACAAACAACACGTTCTCTATCTTATGGTCTAAACTACATTTGCCAAAGCGTGCATTAGCTCGTGCTGGGCTTTGCCTGCGGTAAATCCTGCAAGCCACCGGTGATCCGCTGGAAGCCGTTGGCAGGTCTGGGCTCATTCCTGCCCAACGCCTATCAGAATTGGAGGTGGGCACTTAACTCGACAGGTGAGCCGAGCATCCGAGTGTATAGCTACATGGGTCATTCCCCGCCGTTGCCACTGGCCCTGTATCGCGCGAACATTGGGCGCTGGGGATGATCTATCAACTGGGTTGGCCCACGATGACCGTTGGAACGAGGGTGTATTATCACAATATCCACCTCTCCAGCTACAAACCATTCCCAGTGGCGCATCTTTCTGTTTTCTCTGACTGAACAGCTGCGGTCAGAAGTCCCTTTCGGGCATCGCTATGCCGACCCAGACACTGGGATAGCGCTAGTGCTCAATGGCAAGCGGCGCAGACATCGACAACTTAGTCGTCAATATATTGGGAAAGTGGCGCGATCCCTGCGTTCACAGGACAGGGCACAATGAGAACCTTCAACCAGAGAGATGCCCTAACCTGTCATAGTCCCACAGCTTCCAAGGTTGCCTCACGCGCCCCTAACTATCAGTGCGATGCTTTTATTTACGTTAAGACTAAAGCGAACTATATCCATATAGGTTGTCACGGCATCAAATTTACGTCAAAACATATTCTTCCAGAGCGAAAATACCAGAAGTCCCCTTGCATTCTTCTAGTGTGTATTATTGGTGAAATCTACCACGACATATCTGAAGTGCTTGAGACAGTCGACTCCGAAGATCCAGTCGTATCAACGAGCTCAGACATGGACGTATCCTCGTGCTCATCCGCCTCCAAGCGATCCTCGACCCGACGACGAAAGTCAAAGTCAAACAAATAATGCAAGATATCATGCTCATGAACAGCCCAGGACTCATACAGCAACAGCAACTTGTTTTCGCCAACACAATCTAGCCTGTAGACCGTATTAACAGTCGTGCTTCGCTCTCTCATCAGAGCTGCGCTATTCTGTAATTCCGATGAATTCCCGGGGACAGAAATCTTTGTGCAAGATCCATCTTGGAACCACGCGTCAACCTTGACATCTGTATGAATGGGGTCGCCATCGTCGTCCACCGCGTCAAACACCCCACAAGGCTCTATTGCGCTGATCGCGGGCATGTCTTCGTGTTGGGTGGATTTGGCGTTGAGGAAGATGTATCGAAATGGGTCGATGGAGAGACTGCTATGGTCGGTAAAGTCAACGGTGTCTGCACAATTCGCATCGCAGTGCGCATCAGGTCTATGCCGCATAGCCTCCGTGCGCGCTTTGTAGAGCGTCCCAGCCGCGTCGAAGGAGAATCTGTCGACCTTGAAGACGAACCCACCGTCCTGCGTTCTATGGCGGCAGACAACAGCAATCTCAGACTTGTTTTCAGGAGACGCCAGTAGTTGGGGCGGATCGACGTATAAGATCTTGGACGAACAGATCGGGAACCGAACCGTTTGGAGCACTCCCCCGGTCAGTGAGTCGATTACTCGCAGGCCATCCAGGTGTCCTGGGCCGCACCCTCTCATATTGAATCCAGGCCAGCTGTTCGGTGCGGACGGGTCCTCGGCAAAGCTGAATGCTACCAGGACGTCTCGTTCCTGACCTCCAGTTCGAATACGCCGTAAGCAGAGGGGCGGGAACTGGGCGAGCGTGAAATCAGGAAGATGGGACCAGTGCCATACGTCGCCGGTGTTCAGGTCGTGGACGTAGTAGTAGCAATGGTCGTCCGAGTTGTGCATTCTGCTCGCCGAGTACATGGATGTTTCGGACATTGCTAGAATCACGTTGTGGTGGCCCATGAACGTCACGACGGGGTATGTCTTGCGCCACAGTTCTTCACCTGTCTGAATGAGCATCATGCGGTCCCTGGATAGGTGGTAAAAAGGCAATTAGCATGCTGTTGATAGCTCCATTGATATCAAGGAGGGCATACGTACTCAAATTCTCCGTCGCGGAAAATCCGCATGTGGACATGGCCGCCAGGACCAACCTGCAGGTCAACCGAATGGTAAACCCATGAGGTCCCGGGCGCGGTGGTGAGCTCAACTGTGAGATCCCATGTCCTTGTGGGATACGTTGCGCCATTTTCTTGAAATCCCAGACGCCGCCCGAGGACTTTCGTGCCAACCGTCCAAACGGCGAAGTCACCGGCGACCTTGAAGCTTGTTGCGCTGTTGATCTCACGGACTCCAGAGGCTCGGCCTGTTTTGACGCGGAGGTATTGTGCATACTTCACGGCTGAATACGTGTTAGAGATCCCTATGCACTTGATAACCACGGTAGATCAGTACTCACCAGCTTCCTCCGCTCTCGTCAGTCTCTCATCGACATCTTCCACATCTCGTAGATGAGGCTTCCAGGTCTCAGGAAAAAATAAATACCCTCTCACGGCTATCCAATGCTTCACGAATTCTCTCCACCCTTTATTTACCTGCTCGCACTGGAGCAGGTCCAGCACATCCAGATGCTCGAGGATCATACTTCCGCAATCCCAGCACAGAGCCCGGAACGGGTCACTCTCAATAGTCACAGTTCCGCTCTCGCCATCAAGTGACATCTTCTCATCATCGGCTTCGTAGCCGCTAACTATGGACTTTCGGGCTAACCATGCCCTCTCCTCGTCCGCGTCGTGCCAGGACGGGCTTCTTCTTTTCTTACTCATTCCGTCTTTTCAATATAGAAATCGCTGTTAATGCGAGGCTCCATGGCGCGATGAGGCTGACATCTCTACAAATACCCATAGTCTTCCAGATATTTTTGTCTGCTCTACTCAACCGCTTGTATACAAAGCGGTTTGACAAGCGGTGGGACAAAGAGCTTGACAGTGTCACTATTGTGCTCCAGACACTGCCAAAACATGAGATGAACCGCCGAACAAAGAATTCTTGTCCGTGACTGCCGCAGGTTCCATTGTTACTTGCTTATGTGCTATGATACTTAAATAGAATGGTTAGAGAATTGTCTCATTACCTTTGTTATCAAGCGGCTACTCTCCTGTGCACGATGAAGAGCGAAGCAGTTTGTCATGAGCGCTTTGAGCCACCCCCACTGCATGCCAGCCGCCCCATGACATACAACGAGCTGGAATTCCAGAGATCCCATCACCCGCTTTTGCTGTCTTGCACCCTCAAAATCAAGTTCCTGTCAATCATTTCCCCTCCTCGACAATTGGTTGATTACCCTGGTTTGCACTGGCATCGAGGGCTGAAGTACCTAATCCCGACATCGGGCGTTGTACCAGCTGCTGCCTTCGAAGCTAGCCCTAACTTCTCCCAACACGCTACGTAAATGGGTCTTTATAACTAAAATAAAATTGCGCAATGGTTGTTTCTTGCCTAACACTTGAATCCAACTGCACAAGTAAATTTATTGGCGCTTAGATACCATGACCATCCCACTGCATCCTACTACAATGGCGCTTGGCGTGCGACTTGTGCGCGAAAATCTTGCTGCCTTGCCAGCCCGATTTTCAGTTCCCAGCCATGCCCTGTAGGGCTGAGATCATGTTAGTCACACATATGATTCACGAACCCCTGGATTTCCAAGGTTTTGGCGAACCATCTCCACCCGGGCACGGCCGGGCCTCTGGGCCTACGTCAAGCCCCCAGCGTTGCATTCCTTAAGCCGCCGATTTCCTACCTACTTAGAAGTTCAGATAACGAGAATATTTAATAATTCCAGATCATACCAGAAGCCATTGAAGCAAGCACCATGGACCAAACATACAAACCAACCCCCACGGCCCCCGTCATCCGCCTGCTGGTCCTAGAAACCGACAAGCCACACCCAGACACATACTCCGAGCGCGGGTCCTTCGGGCGCATCATCCACGAGCACTTTTCCGCCGCCGGAGCCGCGCACCACCCCCCGCTCGGCGTGGAAACAGACCAGGTCTTCGTGGTCTCCGAGCAGGGCGGGCGCGTGCCGAAAGTCTCGGAGCTCGACTCGTTCGACGGACTGCTCATCACAGGGAGCGTGTACGACGCGCACGCGAATAACGAGTGGATATTACAGCTCCTCGATCTCCTCCGAACCCTCTGGCTTATGCGTCCCGGCTTCCGCTTTCTCGGCGTCTGCTTCGGCCACCAGCTTCTGGCGCGCCTGCTCGGCGGGGAAGTCGGACCCGCGCCCTCGCGGGATTGGGAACTTGGTCACTGCCGGATTACGCTTACGTCGACGGGGCAGCGTCTGTTCCGGACGCATGAGGATTTCGTGCATCTGCATCAGATGCACCAGGATCAGGTCGTTAAGGCGCCGAGCGCTGAATCTGCGGGGGGCTTGGTTCCGGCGGACACCGAGATCTCGGTTTGGGGGCGCAGCGAACACACGCCGTTTCAGGGGTTGTATATACCCAATCGGCTATTTACGACGCAGGCGCATCTTGCGTTTGACGAGGACATGGTGAAAAGGCAGATTCAGATTCGGGTTGATAGTGGGTCGATTCGGGATTTGGAGCATGCGGATCGCGCGGCGGAGACGGCGGATTTGGAGCATGATGGGGTGGAGGTTGCGAAGGCTATACTGAGGTTGTTTGTGAAGGATGAGGATGAGTTTTAGGAGTGGTGAGGGAAGACGTCATGGCCTTGGGTATTATATATATGGGTGTATTGAATGAAATGAGATAGCAGTTAACTTCTTGTAGTTCAGCAATATACCAATAAATCTTGGATATGGATAAGAACATGGAATTGAAGCTTCCCCACACGCCCTCGCCTCTCACTATAGAAATCACCTTGCATGAAGACATGTCAATCAGAGGTATTTCGAAACATAGCCAACCCTCGGGACAACACTGCGGATGTATGCTAGAGCGGTGTCAGGCGGGAATAGAAAGCTCGAAGTAGAGCTCAGGGAGACAAACCACTGTCAACCATTTCAATCACCCGGATAATCTTGTCGTCGCTGCCAAACTTTACAAACCAGGAATACTCGTTGTGGAAAGGCTTGTCGTCAACAGAGACACCCTGAAATCACAGGAACCCTAAGTCAGCCGTTCCTTTCTGCTCGGAATTGGCCCACGAACGTCGGATTTGGTGTGATACGCCACACTATCACTGCCCTCGACCACAAAGTCAGGCTCCAGGAACTAGATACGCCATAAGTCAACAGGCAAGACCATGGCAGACGGAACGTTCTTACATTGAAGGATTTCACAATGTTCTGGTGATTGGTGAAGAATTCAAGCACCTCGTCCTTGGTGAAGCCTCCCGGCTTACCCAACGCCTGCAGCGCCGATTCTGGGCCGAACTGGAAATGGAAGTCGGGGGAGTCGGAGAGCAGCGCGCGGATGGCGTCAATGTCGAAGGTGTTGAGGTGCCGGGTTATGGCGATGGCGCGCTCGCGACGACTTGCTGGCATTGTGACTGGTTTGAGGGAGATGGATATGGTTGTTATCTTTGCATCGGACGTCTGCAGCGGGGAGGAATATATAACCCTTGAAGGGACCATAGGCCGTGGTTGGGATCCACGCCACTTGAAACGTCATTGAATGGTAACAATTTGGTAACTCCCGTGCCGCCCCTCCCCCTCCCACGACACGACCCACCCCCAACGGGCCAACTGAGCTGGACCATTTATTTCATTGAGAGTCCCTGCCAGAGAATGCTGGATTGTCATGGCCTATGACTGGCCCGGCTCACCGAGGGTATTATCTGTAAGCGCAGTCCACTTGGAACCACTCTGCATCATTCCCGCAAGCATTTCCAGGCTCTCCCCAAGGATATTCACCAGCCTCCAACTGGTGTTGCCTTTGAAGATCCGGGCCCATATCCGAACAACGGATAAGCCGAGTTCGAAGGGGTCAAGCTCTGTACCTGAGTTCGAGGGTATCGGTACCTCCGCGACAATACACCTAATCCACAGGAGCAGACGATGCTCGCTTTCTGTTCCGTTGACTCCAATCAGCAACCATCAACATCAAGGGAAGTGAACATGTCCAACCCACCAGATAACGGATAACCGTCCCCAGAATACCCTATCTGGTAAAGCCAGCGGCCCAGAAACACCGCGCATTCCAAGCTACAAACACACTGCTGCACACTCCAGAAGAAATGCTGGCTCCGCGCCACAAAGTCCACGCCCAACTTGACCGGGATACTGAGCGCATGCGCTGAATGCAGAAGCGCCGGCACAAGGCACTGGCCGTGACTGCGATCCACCGGCGGGAGCTGCGCGAGAGCCGCCGCGATGCGAGCTGGATCGCGCGAGCTCAGCGCTCGGTGCGGACCCAGATCGCAGACCAGGCGGACGTGCGCGAGCGCCAGGAACGCCGTCGAAGTGAACGGGATAGGGCCGCTCGGATTCTGCGGGTCGAGACTGGACTCTGGCGCTTGTTGCCAGGCGAGCTTCCACCGGTGAAGGGCGCATCTGATATGGGTTAAGCTGAGTTGTGATCCATAATTTGGCGGGGGACTTACTCTAGTTGCGCTCGTAGGCTGTCGATGGAAGGGGAGGGCGCTGCTCGAGCCACCTGCTGAACCATGAAGAGGCGTTGCAGAAGGGCATGGATGAGAACGAAGTTACCCAGCGGTGAAGCACAGCACGTTTGGGAGGTGTGGGATTCGAACGGGTCTTTCAACAACGACGACAAGGCGTCTTGGAAAAGCGGCTGGCGGTCTTCAATCAGCCCTTTGATCCGCGCCCACTCGTCTGGAGAGCTCGCGCTCCACAGAACAGGGGCGCACGGGAGCCGCAGGTTGATCTCGTCGTTGAGGATGGTGGGCGGGATATCGTACACGATTGCCTGCAGCGTCAGGTAGCAGAACACCACGAGTTTAAGACGGCGGTCGCCTTCGACCTTCGCCCATTCGTGCCAGCTTGTAGCACCGGCGTTATTTGTATGCTCGGCGAGCGTACTTTCCCGCAGACACCCCGCGAGAACCGTCTGGAAGCCAATGGCCTCACGCAGCAGTTCCGGGTCATCATCCCAGGTGGCAAAGACGATCAGGAGCAGTAGGGCCCGACACGTCTGGAGACGGCTCCACTTGGACTTCTCGCTAAGATTATAAGACTGTCTGGGCTGAAGGGGGTTCGTTAACCTCGAGCTAACCACCTCTGCGGCGTACTTGCGTGTTCGTCGGCGCGCTTGCTCCATCGACACGGCCTTCGCAGCATCGAACAGGGACAAGCCCACGTGGCTCTCAAACCTGTACTGAGCACCGACCGCGGCAATCGCTAGGATGAACTCGAGGGCGCACTCGGCCAGGCTGAATGTGTGCACATGCATAAAGGGCAGATGGTTATGGAAGCCGTCGAAATATCCCGAGATGTACCTGGTGAGGGCATGGCGGGAGGGCAGGACAAACTCCGGAACAACCGCGCGGAACTGCTCAATGTCTTTGAGGAGGAGGGCATACTGGGATTGCGTGACGTTCCATTGTTGGGAGGGCCCCATACCAATATACGCCGCTAGGAAAAGTTAGTCCACGTCTCATCGGTGTTTATAGCACGGGGAAATGGCGGCTATACTCGGTTCCTCTTCGCCTTGTGCCAGGGCCAGTTGGGAATCACGCCGTTGAGGCTCTGTGCCCGTCGCGACCAGTGTAGGTATAGAGACTCCGTCGGTTGTTTGTGAACAGGGGTCCCGATCGCTTTCGATTTCTGGGGATGCAAACATGCTCCAGTCCGAACTGAGGCCCATGGTGTTTACAAAATCTGTAAAGCTCTGCACGGGGTCAAGCAACCAATCCTCGGCAACTGGGTCCATGTCCATGCCAGAGACACCAGCGCTGGTATTCATAGGCAGCGAGATCGGCGGCGTCTCAGCCAAAGCACCCGACAGATGTTGATGACCTTCCATGTCTTCCAGGCTTGTAGTCATCTGCGTTTCGCTCCGCGTACGAGCTCTAAATTCCTGACGCATAGACGGCCCTACATTGGCACAACCCATATCACCGCCGGATGGGATATTTGCTGGCTCGGCGGGACTAGAGGAAGTCTCTCGCCTAGTTTGGTGTCTGAGACGTTGATGGCGCGTGAGCAGGTCACGTCGGGTGAAGGCAAGACCACACCCGCATTTAAACGGTCTCTCCCCAGTATCTTCGGAGCACGGTTAGTCTCATTGCTCAATAGGGTTGCTAAAGGTTATTGCCCAAAACGTCTAGGCAGGATGGCGTACGAGTCCTTGCATGACGGTGAAGATGCTCCAGGCGCGAAAATGTCCGAGAGCAGACCGAGCACCGAAGTGGCTGGGAATAGTCAACCATTTCCACTCAACCGTGGGCAGTGACTGTGTTTGCTTTCTGTGTCAATCTCATTCTAGGTTTCTCTAATGATCATGACGCGATTGAATTGGGGGTGGGGGTGGGGGTGGGTCACCTGAATTAATAATCCTAGTACTACCTATCATGCCTATTCCAGCTCAGCTAGGGCTAAACACTGTGCTTATCCTTTCGGAGCCAATGCAGGATAGCATTACCGGTTGAGCAATGACATCCCATGTATATCAATCGAGCTGCCGAACTGTCGCAAGGGTGGCTTGTTTGTCCTAAATACTTCAGGTGCACTATATGGATGAGTACCCCGCTGCTTAAAGCAAGGCATCAAGTGCACTGCAACACCGAGGACTCTCTCAAAACACCACGGCCCTTTTACAAACCATTGATATATCAGCTTTTGGACGGGCTAAAGATATCACATGCGACCACAGGGTGTGGAGAACAGGGCTTCCCGTCCGCTCAGCCGTACTTAAACCACACGCCGGCTGGTTAGTAGTATGGTGGGTGACCACATGCGAATCCCAGCTGTTGTATGTTTTTGTTTTTAAAGTTTTGACCTGGTGTTGCTGTTGAGTTGGTACTGAACTTGGGGCTACATTGCGTTGAGTGCGCGGGAGGGTTGGACAACACCCAATCCTCTTGAAATTTATGAACTCTCGTAAAACATAAACCCCGTGAGAAGGTTACTCTCTACGCGTTGGCCTTGAATATTACATACATGGCTCTTGGACCATGATTTGATAGCGCTGCTTGATGGGTGATTCATATGTAAAGGTAAGCATTGTCCGCTGTTAGATTCTATTCCCAACTCTTTACTCCATTTGCCTTTCTAATGCAGAACAATTTCCTAACCATTACGTTTGCTTTTTGTTAATTTCAGAAGCCTTAATCAACTTCACTTCAATTTGCATTCAGATCATCTTTCAGTACCTCGGCCCTCGGCGCAAAGGCATTTATCCTCCGGATTTGTTATCTCAACCTTGGCCAAGGCAACTGACCATACGGTCTATGGTATATATACCCGCACAGAATCAACCAAGGTATAACTGCTTGTACGCAAATTTATTTAATTTTTTCTACAGCCAACCGGCTTTCCAAGAACATCATGGCTCGACTGCCGTATCCAGATTACCACACGCCACATGCCAAATCACATCCTACCATCAACATCATGAAACTCCTGTCCTACAGCGAGGCTACTGTGGATCACTGGGCGGGGTTAGGGAATGCCCAGTTCAAGCACCTGTTACTCTCTACCAGAGACCGTGAACTTGTAATTATGTTGACAACATCGAAGTTCAACTCAACCTATGAATGGACCCATCACCTCCCCTTATCGCTAAAGGCCGGTGTGACCGAAAAGCAGCAGGCAGCGCTCAGGGCATCCGCTAAGGAAAAGTATTACTTTATCGACAGAAAATGTGGCAGTGAGGCGGGATTCAGCGAGAAGGACTTTATCCTGCTTGCCTTTGTCGAAACAATCATCCAACAGCCCGAGGTCGGCGAACAGCTGTGGAAGAGGGTGAAGAGTGAATTCTCGGACAGAGAAATCGTGGAGATCATCTCGCTTCAGGTAGATAATTGCCACATGTCATACATATAGGGAAACTAATCAGCTGGTACAGGGATTTTACTACTCGTTTTCGCGCTTGACCACTGTTCTACGGTGCGATTTTGATGAATGGGCCAAGCCTAAACTTTGATCTCCCCCTTGGCCGATGGGAAATCGGTGAGGGCATCTATAAATGGGCTTTTTGGCGTTATTTATCTAACTTTAGAAGCTCCCATTCGAGCTCGCTTCCCACTCCTGGCGTCGTCCCAGCTCGCAGAGGTTCAAATGTGATATGTTGCCAGGGAGGCGATAAAGCGTCTGGAGCGCCCGACGAAAGAGAAATCAGTATATATGGTGTTTTCATTCGCGTCGGGCTGGGCAGCATAGTTGGTACGACATAAAGAAGGAATTGATTGTCGTCCAAGATCAGCCAGGCGCCATTATATCTCGGTATCAATACCTTTCCATTCCCTGAGGCCAACTTGGGGCCGCGGAAGTACAGTAGAAAGAGGCCTTGAATTACATCGTCTCCAGTATCCCTATAATTGACATCGGGGGCTCTCCAGAACATAGCCCTAGCAACCATGGCGCTCCGGGGAGAAACTTCTTAAGAACTTTACACCTCGGCTACGACACGATAAACTAACCGGTTGCCCCTTTACCTACATGGAATCATAGCCTGGTGGCACCACTCGGGTGTCGCGGCGAGCTGATAGCCTTATATAGTGCTTTCTCAAGCTCGATCAAAAGGTCGGTGGTAGCAGCATCCGCGGGAGGCATAATCTGGGTGAAGAGCGCAGCAGCAACCCCAGCCTCTCGGTCAACCCACTGCCAACTATTAGAGAGTACGAAACGAAAAGTGGAAGACAACGTACCCAGTGGGTATTCGGCAAACCACTCCAGCTGGCTGTTGCCCGTCGCCTACGACCTGGAATATCTTTCAACGTAACAGGCCCCGCTAGAGAGTGATCTGCTTGATCGCAATCCTCCACGGCCTTGATCCCAAGGATCCGCCTCATTTGCTTTCCCAGTGCCTTGGGCATTGCCGCCCTGGATGCATGGCTCAACTGTGGCCGAAAGAGCAGATCCACGCTCTCTTTGCTGAGCAGTGGGCTCCCACCTTGAAGCAGTGTTGATAACAGCCTGATGAAATCTAGCGGAGTGCTAAAGAGACCAATACCTCCCAAGTCATCTTCCAGTGGATAGCCTAGCCAGATCCTTCCGGGTTTGAGTGAATCAACACCCTGTCCAACGCTTACCCGTTCTCCCATCTCCATCTGCGATGGGAGAGTATTGGCACGTAGCTCCGGGTGGAATGTAGTCGATGTGGCGCCAATTCTGGACCAGATATTGGCGTGCATGTATTCTTCCAGTGTTGAGTCGGTGACGTGTTCGATCTCTCAATGTTAGTTTAACAACGCCCCTATTGTAATTGAATTGGCAAAGCTCACCATCTGACCAGCCCAGTCGAGGCCAGCTCCGTACCCCCAAGATGTGCCCGGCTGGAAGATTAATGGATGGCGATATCCGTCCTGATAGTGCAGAATCAGATCAGCACACCGAGCCCCGTCTGTAATATTCCCCGTCGAACCTACCATACTTCCACTGAAGGCGTGTGCCGTCCGTCGTCGAGACTCGGACCACCGCTGCAGTAGCGGCGACGAATCATACACAGACCCGGGTGCATGGGAAAGTAGGTGGCTGGTATGACCGTCGGGTGTTCAGCTGTAGAACCAAAACTGTCCGACGAGGTAAGAAGCTTTCTGTACGCACCGCAGCGTGATCTTGCCCTGGATAAGCTCCAAGTTTAGCTCTTTTCCCTCCTTCATGCCCCGCAGTACCTGGAGGTCCTTGAGCTCGGGGACCTTGTCGCGCACTTCGTCATCTAATGAAACGACACCTCGCTCGACCAGTTGTACAACAGCTACAGCCGTGGCGAGCTTTGTCATAGAAGCAATCCAGTACAACGAGTCCAGGTCGAGGGGCTTCGCGATACCAGGGTCAGGGCTCGCTCTCCCAGTGGCCTTTTGATATATGATATTACCTGGAAACTCGGTCATGACCTGGAAGTAAGATGGAGTTCTAGCGACATACCATTCTTGTCAACGGCGATGAAAGCCGCTCCGTGCAACAAACCGTTTATCGGGGACGTGAAATCATTAAGTATCCGGTCAAGCTCGTCCATATTGTAGCAAGTGTCGTCCGTAGTACTGTTAATAACCTGAAGATTTCCTATATAACAACATATTGGATTATTTGTTGCGTCGTCTGTAACTATTCTGGTGGAATATTGCTATGCTATAACCGAGGTTTTCCAGCGCCAGCCTCGGTACATAGACGCAAATCGTAATCCGGAGCGAAATCATCTCAGACCGAGGTTGGAAATCACGAGAAAGATTTACGCAGATTTATCAATCTCAAACACATATCGGCGCAATGAACAGACGCCATATGGAAATGGCTCGCGCATATTGACAGGATACGCCACTGGTATTCAGCGCACCGAAAGGCTTGAGCGGAGGCGAGAGGAGCAGAAAACACCGATCACATCAACCGACTGGTCTGAGATACGGTTGAGCTATTCAGGACAAGATAATAGCAGCATCGACGCTTTATCTTGGCCATCTGAGAAGGGCACTCTGGAGATGGGGTTGGAACTCACCCCCGCTATCAACCCTAGACGAGGGTTGCAATTCAGATAGGCTACTCCTTACATTAGATGTACCAGTAGCTCTCCAGTGAAGCCCCTGGAAATAGCTACAGACCCTCTGGTTTGAGACATTGGATTGCTCCGCGATGGTACTACATCGCATGTTGCTATGGTAAAGTCTATAAGACGGCGCATTGGCGCAGTGAAAGCGCAATGTCAGGTATGGAGTAAGGGAGGAGGTTGTCACCGTGATAGAGCGTAGAATACATAGGCCGCAGCATTATGGATTGATTGATGAGCAAAGAGCAATGACTCTGTATAGCAATGAGTACTTAGGTAAAGATTGTCTAAAATATTAAACAAAAGCAAATGCTTAATCACGAATCTACTACAGACGAAAGCCGGAGCCCCAATAAAACCATAGAGTAAACGGAAGAGCAATGGACCTACCCCTCGTTCTCGAGGTGCATGCGACGAATGTGCTCTTGGAGATTATCAGCCCGGTCGAACGGCTGCCAGCAAGTCAAGCACAAGAACGAGCTGGGCGAGATATGCTTCGTCTCGACATGTCGCATCAAGGCTGCCTTGCGGTTGAAGCCCCCACGCTGGGTGCAATCGGGCCATGTGCATTGGAAGCGAGGAGGGCCATCCTCCCCGTCAAGCGAATACAGAGAGGGATTGGGTTCATGCACTGCCTTGATATGCCGCTTCAGCCATGCCTCCTGGTCAAAGCCGGGGTGTGGGCAACGGGGCCATGGACATGGAAACAGAGGAGCAGTATCCTCGCTGTCGCTGGAGAATAAGGGACGGATCAGTTCCTGGTTATCAGGAGACGCATGATCTTTATGCTTCGCCCTGATATGTCGCATCAACCAGCCCTTGCAGTTGAAGCCACCACGTCGCGTGCAACCGGGCAATGGGCATTGAAACTGGCCAGGATTATTTGGGCTGCAGAACAGATGGGGAGTTAGTGCCTAGTGGTCAAGACGGGCGTGGTTTGTTCAAGAACTTACTTGTATGGTGGAACGGGAATGATGCCGAGAGAGGACTGGTTCGCGTTTTGGTCATCAGGATTGACTGGCATTGCTGGCGGGCTGGGGAGAGGGTCCATGTCGTCTGCCGAATGAACGGCAAGTGTAGGTTCCTCTTCCATGTCATTGACGACTTGATCCTCTAGGGCATTAGTGTCAGGTTCGGCGGTGTCACTGGTCAATATGGGCGGGTAGTGAGTGTCTTCCTGGGCAAATATGTTCCGGACTGGGCCAGTAAGGCCACGATCTTCATCGTACTCAGAACAGAAAACATCCAGTGGGTGGACAAATGTTGGGGATACAGGAGCAGGCGGACTAGTTGGCACTGCAGGCTCGCAATTTTCTTTTAGAAATTCTTCGAGACTACCATAGGTAGCATCCGGGAACTCAAAGGAATACTCCGACATGACGAAAGCAGATTTCGAAAAGAACAACAAAAGTGATGAATGGAATGAGCGTGTTGAGAGGAAGGATGTTAACTTATATAGGAAATTACCACTAAATGCTTTGAAAACAAAAAGAAAATCAACGAAAAGATAAAGCCGGGGACAACAAAGCGACGAGACCACAATGTAAAGGAAATGGGGACTATGAATGGATGCATACGATAGCAACAATAAGAGCAATCAAGGAATAAAGAAAACAAAGGGTATATGGGGAAAATTCTCCCCAAACGCCGTCAATGTCAGGGTAGACGCACGGAGGCCTGGGGGACTATAGTGCGTGATGTGGAATAACGCAATAGGCAATCCCTCATGAATCAATTGAATGACATGGTACAGAACGGCCAATCGTCCTACGCCGAGACCTCAATCAAACCACAGAGAAGACGTGGGTATACAAAGCAATAGACACCTGGGGTGTTTGCTCGCGCGCCTCATCGCAAACGTCCAGGGCCGTTGACGATAGCCCCAAAGTTTGAAAGCTTGCCAATGAAGCCTCTACTCGTTGATTTGCTGTCAATCCTGTCAGGTACACGAGGAGTTTCTGTTAGGCCTAGGAGCAGAGGACTTTATGCGCCTGAACTGTTGTTCCGAACGCAAGTGTATAGTTCCGTGTATGCAGCCCACTCAGACTCGAGCCCATGATCGCTTTAACGAGCTTATGAAATGGCTTATAAGTTCAGGAAAGTAATGCTACCTAAAGAACAGTCCTAAATATCTCAGCAGCCACCGTCACTGCAGGGTGATTCTCGAATCAGAGACACAAGGTTCCTGGGCCCTAACTTCCACCGCTTCCAACGTCGAGGAGCTTATTGCTGGAGTATCTCAGCCTGAGTCCTCGTAGGGGACATACAGACTGTTAACCTTGGAAATAATGAATACAATGTGCATGCTCTCAATTATCCTCAAGGTAAAAAAAACAGATACTAAGGACGAAGTCAGCACGCTAGCCTTGGGAGGGTTTTGCAAAGATACAGGAGGAAACGACTGCTCGCGCAAATATCTATTGCCTTGGTTTCGAGCGAGGGTCCGCAGAATTTAAGCCTCTATCTTCTGTTGGCTTTAGTGAGGTGAATCCACCGCACTGTTTATATCATGGAGGGTTGATTGGTGGTCTGTGTATTTATTCCCCACCTCATGTACAGATAACTTCATGAGAATCATTCGCTCAAACATTCGTTCAATAAAAGACATCAAATAGGATCCGTTATAAAGGCATCTTCCTCCCTCCCTTCTTCAACTCCGCCAAGGACTCACTCGTCCACGTCTCCTCGAGACCCGTATAAGTCCCCGGGCCCGGCGTGTCATTGCTATCTTGCGAGTACTGTTCAGTCCCAGGCTGCGCTTTTCTGCCCTGCCTCATCGCCATATGTTCCTCTTCGTCGCCTGCATCCTTGTTCCCGTGGCGAGCGGCGGGACCCTGCATCACTTCATCCAAGTGTAGTCCTCGAGTGAACGGAGCGCCGTCTTCCTGCTCGGCAAAGCTGTCCCACCCAGGGCTGTTGGGTCATACCCAGTCAGTTATTGAAGCCCTTCGTTATAATTAATTGGACCGGCAAGGTAGGTGCGTACAAGCCAAAAGAACCTTCGTCGTCGTGCCTGTTGTAGCCCGGGTTTTCTGTTGACATTGTGCGTGAATCGATACCGGCTGAGTTGGGTTTGATCGGAGCTTGTGGTGGGATTATTATGGTTATTTCTACGCCTGGTCCTCGATATTAGCGCTTTATGGATGGCGATTTGTCGATCATTGATTGACCTTGAATGACGTCGCTGCTGCGTAATTTCCCCAATATTGGGTCCTTACCCACATTGTCTCCAGATCGCGGAAAAGGTACCATTGTCCATGTATCAATCCCATCATCCATAAACTGCCATCTGTCAATTCATTCTGCACAAGAGCCAACTTATGCGTACGTAATATCCAGGTCCCTAGGCTATCGCACAAGATCGATGGAACTGTATATCAACGCTATGTCGAGCGAAGAATTCTCAACAGGAAACGCCCCAAGTCTCCAGATGTCATTGTCCAATCTATCCATCTACAAGCCCTTCGATCTTGTTCCCTGTCTCTTACTTGCCCCAGCGCCCTGCTGATCCCAGTAAACACCAGCCCCAGGATTCGCGTCCATCGCAGCATCTGCTTCTGCTCTCAAGGCGCCCTCATCTTCTCCCAGATCAGGCTGCTGGAATCGTGAACCCTGTCCTGCCCTTGTCCTCATGCCTGCATCTGGGACTGCAGAGTCGTACCAGCCCCCGTCGCTTTGAAATGTCGCGTTGGCTTCGTCGAAACTGAGCGGTAGGTCAGTATCAATGGCCCTGGAGCGGTTGGCGGTTCGAGACATACAAACGCTTATCTGTACGGGACGAGCTGGAAAGGTCTTTGCTTGGGACTGGGTTTCTGTTCGACATGATATATGATTGAGCTGGTCTAGCGAGAAATGGCTCTGGTGATATGGATAGGTTGTGGCCTGAGATAAATGCAACCTGGAGCTTATGTTTGCTGGTGGCAATTGACGTCGGGCATACGTAATCCAATGGCCCAATTCCCGCTTTATTTTGCATCCTTCCATCATTTCATGAACTTTTGACTTCTAGGTTGTTGCTTTCAATATCGCTCCCTTCCGCTAATACTCGTAGTATAAAAAGTGTTGGCTACCTAGAAATGTCTCCATCATACAACCCGACCGCCAATAATCTTCCCCAGCTGTCTCCCACCATTTCGAATCATAAACCAGCTGGAGGTTTCTGACCTCTAGTCACTGTCCATTTCGGCCATTATCTAGCTCTTCTAAATCCCCATTTTTGTCTTTGCCCTCCGCAACAGAATCAAATCCAGCATTCATGACCAGCTCCGCGTCTGCATCCACATCTTGCTCCCGCAGCGCACCATGCTCATCTGTCTGGATATCCTCTGCGTCGGTCTCTGGGTTCGTCATGCTCTTCCGAGCTGAGAGCCGTCCGTTCTGATGACCACCGGACGTCAAATCAAGTGAATAGTATTCTCCCACCCCCCTTTCGCCCTGCCACTTGCCCGGCGGCCTAGGACCATGTCATGTTAGCACATAGCTTGTCCTATGGTGAGTGTATAATGTACCATTTCGACATCGGCGGCAGCATGAGGTAGATTTGGAAAAGGGTGTACAAAGTTGGAAGCGCGAATTATATTAGGGGGGGAATATCATACGACAAGGGGATATTTATTCTGGCTTTGGTAACACCAAATGGTTGTCCGTCATATACCGGTAAGTTTGACGTCGGTGACACGCCATAGTGAGTTGAATGATCGAAGGTTTGGAGGATGCTCCATGCGAGATCTTTTATATGTCTGATTTTTGCCCGTTGATTGTGAATGGAAAACTTGAGTACGGGCCTGAGGACAGTGCCACATAGATTGGAGTATGATAGAGCATTTTTAGTTTTTGAACTGCACCTATTCCTGCGTTGGCTTTACCAATAGTTAGATCTATTTATGTCCAAGCTTGCATAAGTTCTGTGAATAACGGATTACACTTTCATTTCAATATAATAACGCCCTGAGACAATACTATTCGCCTCAAGCACTGGGATACCTCTCTGGATCTACCTAAATGATATTTCGGAAGACTGCCAAGTTATAGCAATCCTTATCCAGCTAAGCACTTCCCCATCCCCTTCGCCAACTCCCCCATATCCCCACCCTCAACCTTCAGAATGCACCGCCCATCCTTGAAAAAGTACAAACCAGGCTCCGCGTCCCCATTCGCACCCAAGCCCCGTGGCAGATAATCCTCATCCTCGTTGAGCTTACGAAATACCACCCTGCCGGTCGACAGCTGTTCTACCAGCGCCTCGTACGCCTGTGCGCCGTCCTCCATATTCCAGAGGATCGACTCGGCGTGTAACCGCGCGTTGAGAGCAATCAGGCTGAAACAATGTTAGGCCAAGTGATGGGAAGTATGTGTTCCAGTCCGCTTACGCTTTCGCCTCTGCGCCGTTGATGATGAAATGTTCGCTCCGTCGCCGTTGGGGCTTTGCCGTCGGAGTCGGAGTTGCCGGGTTCGCGAGCATCATGGCTAACTGGGGGTTTCGCGAGCTGAATTTGATCAGAGCTGAATAGCTCGTGCTAAATGATATCTCTTGACAACAGAATCGCGCGGGCGGATGTCAACGTGTGAGGCCGCAGAGGTTGACGTCGGCGGTTGCGACTTGATCCGTGGATTGGAGTTCCAAATCAACGCTTTCACCATGGCTGGAGATTTTTTAATTTTTTGAGTAGTAGCCTTATGATATGCTTCTCATCATGCTCCTTGGAGCACCCAATTACGAGTGCGTCATTGCTCCATGTAGCGGACAATGCCATTCGCATCAATCAATCTTTACGTCCATATAAATTCCCAGCTCCTTATACAAAGGATATACCCTTCCCAATTGCATGGACACTGAAAGGAAAGATCTCCCGTCCCCTGCTATCCTTTGCCGCCAACAGTAACTCATTTCACGTCCTCATTGAGACCTCTCGCCACCGTATCCACCTCCTCCCCAACAACCTTCCCAGTGTACTCCTTCGTGACCGGATCGTATAGGTAAACCGCAGGCTCGTCGTTATCCTCAACATCAGGATACATTGCGTCTCCTGCATCCAACACGTTGCCCGTGGTTTCTTCCATTGAGGGATTCTGCACTTCGGTGGCGGTGGTCGTGACAACCGTCTTGGTAATGCCGCCGTGCTTGGTCTGGGCCTGGCTCCCAGTATTCGGAAGGACGGTGTCGCTGTTATAATGTCCCGCGCGTCAGCCGTAATTGTCCAGTCGTTGTTCGAAGTATGAGGGAGTTGGCGAAGCATACCTGTCGGTCATGGCTTTGCTGTTTGTGCAATGAGGGCTTTTCAGCGGGGTGGTTTCGATCGTTGCAATGAACGTGCCTGGGGTAAATGGCAGTGGGACGGGAAGAAAAGATATCATCTTCCCAGCTTGTGGACCTATTTGGGGGTACAAATACAACAGGTAGATCAGTATTGACGTCGGTGGTACAATCGTCACGAACTCAAAAACGCTACGCCACGGGGAATTAGGGTTATGGCTGGAATGCTTAGTCTATCTCCATCCACTTAGGATGGCCGGTTCCATTCAGGGGATTTCCATGGTGCTTGTATCTAAAATGTATGGTAGGAGATAAGTACACTACTATGTCCAGATCGGTCAGCTACATCTCAATAGAAACCGGAACAACCTCATCAACAACCCTCCACCGCCCACTCTCATGGTCAAACCTATTCCGCGAGAACTGCAGGAACGGCGTATCGGAGCTAACGTTCCATTTCTTCACATCTTCCTCCCTTGTTCCCGGGGGTATCCCATTCCGCGGGATGAACACACCATACGGTTTGATTCGCGCCTCCTCGGGGATCGGTAGGATAAGACCGGGGTTCATACTCGTATTCACCGTTGCTAGATCTGCATGTGGCTTGGGATCCAGGTTCACTGAGCCAGTTCCAGAGTCCGAGGCTGTTATTCTGGCCTGGCGCATAGAGCCGTTGCTGCTATTGCTCGGGCTGTGCTGCGGACTCGGCAAGGGACTGAGTGATATTGATTCCGATCCGGGCGTCAGAGTCCAAGCGGCGGGCGACATGGTTGCGCCTATATCAATATCCCTGGCAAACATCTCCTCGACGTCAATAACGGCCTGCGCGAAACTAACACCGAACGTGGTCGGATAGAACCCCTGCACCTGGGGCGATTTGGCTAGTAACGCAATCGCCTCGCGCCGGATCAGCGGATCTGCGCATCGAAGAACAGCGAACCAAAGTGGAACTCCGACACCGATGTCGAATGTAAACGGCGGCGGCGTTCCATTTGAGCGCAGTGAGGCGTCAAGTGCGATCCGAGACTGCTCGACAATGATCTGGAAATTTTGGAGACAGGAGTCGGTCGATATTTTGAATCGCGTGATGCACGTTACTATGATGACGTAGAGCATCTGGTAATGTGTAGAGAGGAGAGCAATGGTGGTCGTTTCCTGAGGGGACATGGGGTCTAATCGAGCTTGGAGCGAGCTGGTGAGGGCCGTAAAAGCTTCCTGCCAGGTCCGCACCCGTGATAAGATGGCTAGTTGCTGTGCCATCATTTGATCAGGAACATAGAACTCGTTTGTTGAATCGTGATGTTCTTCGCATGCTGCTTGGAACAACTGCGTCTCGGCCGTCAGGACGAATATGGCTTCGCGAGCGGCCTTGAGCGAAGCAAACCTCAGTCCGGGCGTTAACAACCGGTCTATCTCCCGAAGTAACACGGCCGCTGTGGCTTTGGACTGGTTATCGGCTAGGACACTCAAGCGCGCAAAAATAGGCACAATCGTATCTTCCAGTAATAACCCTTTTGATGCAGGGACAGTCCCGGTTACTATCTGGTCCCGTAACGCCAGAGCAAGCTGTGTCCCCTGGTGATAGAGCCGTATGGCTTCCTGTGCGCTACCTTGCAGAGCCTCGATGCAGATGAACAGCACGCAACTGATCAAGCCGACGAAGACGTCCGTGACGCCACGCTCAATTTGCTGGCGGACGGCCGACACAGAACGCAAATACCAACCCAGCGCATCTTGGTGCATCGTGATGGATTTTGAGGGCGTGTAGTTCTCGAATAAGGAACTAATCGAGATGATCGCGTCCCAAACGGCCGGTTCGCTATGGCATATCCTAGGTACAATCGTCCCCCAGAACTCGGCGTCTAGTCCGCCAAGGATAGGCGCCGCATGCTGGGAGTAATACGCAAACGCACGTCGCTCGCGCCATGCCCTGTTAGGTGTTGGAGACAAGGCAAAAGTAGCCGCGACGGTCGTGCTAGTGGTTGCTGCAGACGCTGACGAAAAGGTCCCATACGCTGTGTCGGTGTACTGGCAATCTCGACCCGTCTTGGTGCACCGCAAACAGAATGGCTTCTCCTCCCCGCATTTTATCTTTCGAGCTCTGGATGTAGTCAGTATTGGGTTTACGCAGGATCCAGGCCCACCTACTTGCAGGTTTTGCACCCCCGCCGTGACTTCAGCGGGCCGAACCCGACGGGGCGACGCGAGGTCGCGGGTGCTTTCGTTGTCATAACTTGTGATTGCCGAGGCCTTCCATCCCAGAAACTGCCAGCGATGGAGAGTTGAGGTTAAAGGAATATTTCGATGGGAATTGATGGAAATCCCGAGCTGACGACGTGTCAGGGGCGGTTGGAGACAAGTGAAGGCTTAGCGAGTCTTAGCCTCGATCCGCCGTTTGGAAGCCTCAGGCGCCAAGGCCACAATACAAATCTTCGTTGGTTTCCAATATTCCATGGCCGGCGGCCTATATCCAGATGGTCGCTTGGGTACCTATGGCATGGTAGTACGGAGGTAGCCAAATTTGGGAAGACCTGGAATCTTTGCTAGTTGAGTTGGAGCTACGTGACTGTTCAGCTGAGATCTATGCCATATAAAGCACGGGCAAAAGGATAGGTTTTAATGCTAATAGGTATTACTCACTTGTAACACCCCGGTCACGTCCATCTCTTTATACAAGGTCAAGCAACTGCCATGAGTATTCTGCTTAGACACCCACTGGGATATTGTCAAAGAGTCCTCGTCCTGATCGCACATTGTATAGATTCTACCAGCCTTTAATAATAATGCTGTTGCTGTGGTGATGTTCATGATTCCTACTGTGATTAGGAGAGTCACACGGATGCTTGAAGCAATATCTGTTGACTGTGAGCCTGTCTACATTGGTCGACTGTTAGATTATGTGGCTTGGTCTTTCTTGCTTTATGCTTGGATTGGCCTGTGGCTCCTGCCCCCTTGCAAGGAGGACCTTCGTACTTGAGGATGTTATGGGCTCACAAGTAGGTATATCTGACTGACTGGGCACAAACTTCTCCATTCGAGATGATGATCCTTGCGAGCCTTGGGTGGTGATGGGGCCATAAATTTGGCCCTTGCAGGTGAAACATCGTGGCATGTCGACAACCTATTGATTTGGGACCCTGAGTACCGCAGGACTTGGGTTCTCGTCAACATTAATGGTAGTTGTATCCTTGACCGCAGGTTGGCTTCTTCAATATAGGCAGAGACTAGTACTTCACTAAACAATTTTCCCGATCTGGACCGGTTGGGCCGTTTGAGCAGAACAGGACCCGTATCCATATCCCATGGCACGATATCATTGAGTTGGGAGTAGGAGATTCGTAACATGGTTTCGGTCCTAGATCAATTCAGCCACTATACCAAATACTCCATAATCAAACGTAAGCTGGCCAGACATACTCAGACAAATTACGTTGTAGCTTACTCCCGGATCTGCCCTAACCGCCCCATTCGAAAACGGCCCGCCCCCACGATCAAGAACAAATAAACCAAATCCAACAGGACAACAAAGCCATGGATTCTTCATTGGCTGGATACTGCATAGGGGAGAGTCAAACATAAACACGGCCCCGAAATCATGAAGTACCAGCACCTCGCCGGTTACATTACCTAGAGAATGGCTGGTCTCACCTGCAATCGTCAAATAGTATCCTTCGGTCTATGCCTCATTTTGCCATCTTAACTACCACTAATGTATTCAAAAACTTTGGTCATACCTAAACATCGAACCCTAAGCATTCAAGCGCCCACCGCAAACATGAGCTCGATTCTACATACCTCAAGTCCCGAGGTCAGTTGAGGATGGTCATGAGACGGATATGTTCAAAATATCTACTGCATGTGCAGTTGGCGCAAGTATTTCAGACCCTTAACTTCACCTCCTGGGCGTGCTGTTCTCACTCAGCGCAGCCTGCGTTTTAAATCAGACGTCCCAGGGCACACTGGAAACATCAGGTGGCTAACTAGGTACGTGTAATAGGGACACCGGCCAAGAAAACATGTTGATTTATTGACTGACAGCACTTTGGGGCGATTTCAGTTGTCCAAGGCGAAAAACACTGAACCCACTCAACGTCCTCGTGCGATTACCTGGCGCGCGAAGGTCGTCGTCTCGACGGAGCAGTATAAATGGTGCATCATGCCCGACTAATTCCTGTCTCTACATCCAACCCACAGAAGATCACATCTCATACTTAGACCCGCCCTCACCCCAGCCTCCATTGTCTTCGTCCTGAACAAACTTCGTTCACGATGAAGTGCACCCTTCCCCTTGCCATCGCCCTCCTCGGCGTCCAGGCCACAAGCGTCCTTTCCGCGGCTGCACCAATCACCTCCGCATCATGCGGCGACCTCGGCGTGATGAGCATCCCCAAAGACCCAAACACCGATCCCACAACCTACCGCCAATGCGCCGAACACCCGCTCCGCCGGCGCCCAAACCCCCGCTCCTCCTCCGTGGACGCCGAGTCCGCGGTTCGAATTGCGTCCATGAAGGCGTCATTGACTCTCGCTAACGACGCCAACGGCAGCGAAAACCAGAAATGCTACTACGCCGCGCCGTACGGGTGTGACAGCAACTATTGCTGGAAGGCGTGCGGGAAGGAAGGGAAGGGGGAATGGTGCTGGGTTGCGCAGAAGGACGGGAATGGGCCCTGGACTGGATGCCGGAGTTGGGAGGATTGTAAGCCTAGTGAGACGAAGGGGCATGGGTGTGGGAAGGGGTGCGTTGGGGCCTGTGGGTGTGGTTGTTGAGGACCTGGGCGGAGGGATGTCATCTTCTGGCACCTTGGATGCGAGGTATTGAGCCATATTGATGATATCCAGCAAGGACAAGAGACATGTCAGATTACAATGGACAAATTGGTCATCTTAACGTTTAATTACGTTGGCCTCCCATCTCAGAAGAATATAGTAATTAAACTAGATACTCGCCGAAGTAATTAATAAAAGTTCAAGGTATTCTTTTAAACTAATAATATATTAGGGGCAGTTAAAAAACAAGAAAAGGCTTAGCAAGTCTTAGCCTCCTTCCTCGCGTTGCATCCTCAGGCATAACACCAACAATACATTCCTCTGCGCTCCAATGAATATATCCAGATAGACTGTTATTAGTTCTTTGTAATTCTGATCCCTGCGGCATTATGCCTGGATTGGTCAGTGGATCCCGTTCCATTCAACGGAGAAATTCCGTACTTGAAGATGCTTGAATACTTAAGACCTTTGGGACATCCTCTAGCTCATAATCTAATATGACCTTGCCCTGTAAATACAGTAATGGGCATATACAAGGTAGTTTACGTTAGCCCTCCTAGTCACCCCGGGCCTATTGAACCACCAGGCAATTGAACCTTTAAATCGCCACCTTAACGTTGTTGGTACCATCTTGGTTGCCACGCTCAGTATAGAACAAGATACAGGTCAGCTCGAGAAGTCTGCCAACTCTTTATCTTCAATGTTTATCGCCACCCCCATCAACGCCCTTGATTATCCCAGAAATGCAAGCCAGCGCATTCCGCGTCCACCCCAACCGCGGCTGTTTTGAAGGCTGCGACTGCGATCTAGTATCATCCTTTCCAGGGCCATTCGGGCGCCGTGGAGGGCAAGTTGCCTCAGCACAAATGTATCTTTTGGTCGTCGGGCAAGGTGCCAGCTCGGGGAACAATTCCCACTTCTTCTGTCGGAAATATACGTTGGGCCGTTGGGAATAACTCGTATCATTCAAGGCGTGGCTGTATAGAATGTCTGCGGACGTTATGTACGGTTTTGGAGACAGGGGACCTGGATAATTAGAAAGGTATTTTGTTAGCCGGTGCTGTTTGGGACATTGGTATAGGCCTTCTTCCACAACGAAGGCTTGCTTACCTGTGTTCAGATCTATAGAGCTACTCTGGGGATATACAGATTCAGCGGGACTGTACAGTATGTCTGCCGGCGCTATGTGCAGCTCAGCAGAGCGGGGGCCTGTATTGAAGGAGTTTGATTAGCCAGTCCTGAACATGAGTGTAGGCGTTTCTTGCAACTCAAGCTTTCTTACCTCTTTGCAGATCTATACGGCTTTTCTGGTGGTCCCCGGATTCAGCGAGGCTAGTATGTGGACGGATTGAATTGCCTTCTTTGCCGTTGGGGGTGCCGCCTCGGTTGCCGGTCCGGGTTGTATGTGCGCCAGGGGTTCTTGTTCCAGTAAGGTTCTTCTCGCAATCGGTGTCATCCTCCTCGGCCTTGCTGCCTCCTTTTTTGCTGCTTGTCGGCTCAACCCATTCGTATACGCAGCTGCTTGCATGGTACAGCTCGTCGTACGTGGGACTTGTGGCTAATGGTGTATTAGGTCGCGATGTATGGATCGGACGGGGATCGCAATCGAAGCAGATGGGCTCTATGGAGCCCAACCACTCGAAGACTCGCGTATTTTTGTCCACGGTTGTGATGTTGTAAGCCATTATTACCAGGCAGGACAGTGTGAAGTGGTCCGCGGCTGCCATGAAGGACGATGGGAGATGGTGGAAATAGAAGTGCTAGTAGATTGAGTAGGAACGTTATCCCTTAGAGCATTGAAGGAGCTACGATATGTATGTTAATGCTGAAGCTGCCACGAGCTGTCATGATCCACCCTTGTAGCAATCAATCTTCTGTGCGGATACTCAAAGGGTCAAAATGCTCTCATGCCGGCGGGACAAACGTTTCAAAGGCACAGAGGAGGTTCGCCCGTGCGCTGGCCCCAGGATCGGTTTCTTCAGCGCCGGAGGCCCCTGCATAATTCGTTTCGATTGGATCGGAATGCTAGGGGTAGCTTGATGTATCATGCTTTAACATTCTTCTACGGTGATGAGCGGCCACAAGCTTGAAGTAATAAGTGTTGGGCAACAACGTTGCCTCCGTATGTGAGAGCGATCATAGAGCTTGTTCTTGGGGTTCATTAGCAGAGTTCCTTGGTCTGGGCCCATTTCTCGCAGGCGGGGTTCCAATTAATTGATGTCGGAATTATTACATAATTCAACCCGGACCTCGCCCGGGCAAGAAGATTTTCTTGAAGGGCTGGGCGGATTAGCCACCTGTATGGTCACCATGGTGGAGAGGAAACGGGAGACCAACAAGTGTTCTTTCGAGATCATCATAACATGGTTCACGAAAGGGAAGGTCCAGCGATGGGCCCCAGGGAGGTATACGAAGCAAATACGCGATACGGCGCAGATCGGGCAGCCCACTTGGCGCAGGGGTTTAAGCTCATTACAGATACTAATTTATTGCCTAGCGTAGAGTATTACTTGCTCGGGTGGCCAACTTATGTGTAAAGAAATAGACTTCGAGGTTTCAAGTCTTGCGATGCTCGCTCTTGCCAGGAGGTGGTTTTTGTAAACATACACAGGCAATACTCCCTCTAGACAGAATTGATGTTTGCCAACAGTTTGCTGCTTTTCCGAGTAACTCAGACCTTGGGTGGGTTAAGTTTCATTCAGGAACTAGTATATGAGAGCAATAAGACCTCGATTAATCATTAAACCCAACTGCCGGGTACCTCTGCCGAGGAACTTAGGGACCCCAGACAGAACCAACCCTTGCGGAACAGTGGGGCTGCCTGAGCGTCTGTGACAGTGGGATATTTGTATACTGCCGACACCCCCCCACATAAACATTTAAAATAAATATTTTTTTTAAATTATATTTGCTACGCGCGCCGCGCAGTAATAAAATAGTAATTTAAAAAAGTATATATATTATATAAGTATATTATATTATATAGTAAACTGCATATAAATTAATATATTATATAATATATTAAGTTTTATAAAATAAAATAATAAAAATTAATAAGTTATAAGGGCGGTAAAATTAGGTATAGCTAATTAAAAAAAAAAGTATTTATACTAATTTAATAAATTTTAAATTTAAAAAAATTTACTAAAAAGTTTTAAAGTTAACTACCACTATATTTAAATATATATTTTATTATTAAATATTAATTATTTACTAAAATAGTAAATAACTTTAAAACTTTAAAAATTTAAATATTAAAAAAACTTATATAAAATAACTTAACCTCACGCTTTTAATATTTTTATTTTATTTTAATTTTTATTATAAATTTATAGCATAAAATACTTATAAAATTAAAAGTATAATTATAAAAAAAATAATATATAAAATTTTTAATTTTAATATTTACTTTTAGTAAAGCTAAACTTTATATAATAACTTTTATATAAACTTAAGCTTACTAAAATTTAGTATATAAAAAAGGGTATTTATTATTATTAAAAGTAAAGTTATTTAAAACTTTTTTTTAATAATTTTATTTACTAAAATATTAATTTTTTTAGTTATTAAGCCTTTTAAAAACCGTACTATTTATTATAAATAACTTTTTTTATTAATTTTATTAAATTAAAATTTATAAAAATTAAATTTAATAAGGTTTAGCCCTGGATTAATAATATTTATTTTTTTAATAAAATATATATTAGTACTTTAATAAATTAAATTATTATATATTATAAGTATTACCTAGCTAGTAAAAAGGCATAAAAGCTAGTAATTAAATTTAAAAACTACTTATATAAATAATTAAGCTAAAAACCTATTAATTATTTTTATTATATACATGTTACTTATAAATATAATAATAATATTTTAATTACCTAGTTTTTTAAAAAAGGTTATAATCACAAGCATAATTTAACTTTATAAGTAGTAATAAAAAAAAGCTATTAAAGTATATTTTATAATAAATTATAATATTATTTTAAAAAAACCTTAATAGCTCCTAAACTAGTAATCTTATTAATTTAAAAATTACTTAAAATAAAAATATAAACCTTTATAATATTTATAACACCTAAAAAAAATAATTATTATTATTATTTTTTAATTTTTATAAAACAGGCGCTATAAAAAGCTTTATAAAGTAAATAAAATAGCTTATAATTTTTTTAAAAAAACTAAAAATATTACTAGGCATGCCTTTTAATTAATATATATTATAATATTATTATATTTACTAAATAATGATTAATAAAAATTAAACATACTAAAAAGGTAAGGTTTTATTTTTTTAATAAATTTAACTTATAAAATAAATAAATTAAAGTATTATTTAATATATTAATAATTTAAAATAAGTAAAAAGCCTATATCCCTGCTACCTTTTTTTTATAATAAATAAAATATTATAATTATTATTAAAAATATTTAATAGCTTAAAATTTAGTACAAAAATTAAAAGCCTAATTATATTATTATTAATAATTTTATAAATAAGTAAAAGGCTATTTTAATAATATTTTTTTAATATTAAAAAAAACTTTATATTTTTTATATAATACACTCCGCTTGTACTTTTTAGTATTATTTTAGTAAAATTTTTATTTTTATTTTTTAAGTAAAGTATATTATAAAAAGGTTTATAAAAACCTTAAGGCTATTTTTTACCTTTAAAAAATTAAAGCTAGTTATTAAAAGTTAATAAAAAAGGCTGTTAAGGCCTTAAATAATAATAATATAAAAATTACTTATATTAAAAATAAATTAAAAAAATATAAAAAATTAGGTAATATATACTAGGTAATACCTAAATATACTATTATAATTATATAATATAAATTTATTAAAAAGTTTTTACTAGGTTTTTAAAAAAAATTAAATAAGTTAATAAATACCTAGTTACCTAAAAGAATTAAAAATTAAATTTAGTAAAAAAAAAAATTTTATTATAAAAATATTATTAACTTTTTTAATAAGCTAAATTTAACTTACTTTTTTATTTTATATAAGAACTTTTTTATAGCAAGATAAAAAATAATAAAAATTACCTTAAATACCTTTTTTAAAATATTAATAATAAGCTATTTTACTAGTATTTTTTTTAAAAAAAAAGCCTTTTTATTATTTTTTTATTATAAATAAGGTATATAGCAATATCCTAATATAAAAGTTATAAAATTAATTTTATAAGGGCTTAAAAAAAAGGCTTTAAAATTTATAAAAATAACCTTAATAAAATAATTAAATAAAAAGTTATTAAAAAAATAAAAAATATTAATAAAAATATTTAGCTTTATTATAAATAAAAGCTTTAACTTTAAAAATAATTAAATAAAATTTAATAAGTATATTATAATTTAAAAAATAAAATTAAGGTTTAGCCGGCCGCGGAGTATTAAAAAAAAATTAATTATAAATAATTTTATTAATTAAGGTTATTAACTTACTAAAACTTAAAGGTATTAAAAATTTTAAAAATTATTTTTTAAACTTTATAATAATGCTTAAAGGCCCTTAAGTTTAAAATATTACTTTTAATTAATTTAATTAAAAATTACTTATAAAGGAAAAAAAATAAAAAGGTTTAAATAACTTTATAAATATTAATTAAATATTAATTTAATATTAATTTATAAAAAAAAATAATTTTTAAAAATTTTTATTTTTTAATAAAGCGCCCGCGGGTATAAGTATATTAATTTATATAAAAATTTTTATAAAAATTAAAATACCCGCGCCCGTGGGCGCCTTATTAATTTATTTAAAATTTAATATTAAATTATAATTAAAAATACTTTAAAAGCGCCTTAAAATAACTTTAAAAATAAGCTTTTATAAAAACTTTACTTTTAAGTTTAATAGTAATATTAATATATTAATTTATATAAAAAATTTTATAAAACTTTATATACTTATACCCGCGGGTGCCTTATTAAACTTTAATACTTTTATTATAAATTTAATACTAGGCTATAATTAAAATTTTTTTAAAAATACTTTAAAATAGCTTTAAAAACAAGTTTTTAAAGGGTTTTATTATTAAGTATATTAATATATACTAATATATTAATTTAAATAAAAATTTTAAAAAAATTAATATACTTATACCTTAGTATAAACTTAATAATTTTTAAGTAAGTATATTTTAAAGGTCTTTATTTATATTTATTTATTATTTATTATATAAATTAAAATAACTTAATTACACGGGCACGTGAGGTATTAAAACTTATTTTAATATTAAAAATATTAATAATATATAAATACCCGTAATAGTACTATAATTATAAAAACTTAATTTAATAAGTTTATATAAATACCTTAATTTTACTTAGTATTTTATAAATATATTATAAAAAAATACTTTATACTATACTAAACTTTTTAGGCATTATATTTAAATAAACTTATATATTATAAATATAGTAATATTAGGGCAAGGTTAGGTCCTATATATATATATTTTTTATTTTATTTAATTTTAAGTAGGTTTAAGCATGTATTTTACAAGAGTTACTAGGGCTATTTTAAATTTTAATATTTTAAATAAATTTAATAAAAAAAAATTAAAAATTAAAGTTTAAAGCTAACCCTTAGCCATGTGCATGTAATATTTATAAATATATATTATTATTAAAGTAATAAACCCGGGAATTAATACTAATTTATTAAAATTAAATAATTTACTTAGCTTAACCTAGCTAGCCTGTATTTATTTAAAAAAAAGTAACTAAGTTAAAATAGGTAATTAAAATAGCTTATTAATTAATTATTATAAAATACTTAATTAATATAAAATATAAATAGCATGGCTATAGTGCTAAATTTAGTATTTTATAGCTTATTTATTTTATAATTAAATATTAAGGTTTTTTTTTAGGGTTACTTTACTTATAGTTAAACATGCCTAAGTAAATAAACCCATAATTAACTAGGGTTATAATTTAAAATATTACAGGTGTTATAAATTTAAGACTAGAATTATAAATACTATCCGTGATTAGTAATAAAATATGGTCACCGGGACCTTAAGGGAAACAGGCACGGACGATGCCCTGCATGTACTCTTATGTGTCTATAAATCTCTCTCATGCCCTCACAAGCCACGGCACTGATGGCCATGTCTATGGTAGATAATTCCCGGACAGAATTAACAACGAGAATACTCTCGATGAAGCTTTCAGTAGCAATACCACCATTTAGAGCGGCCCACCCATTACCGAAATCCCACCCCTTAGCAAAACGCACTTTTAGAACTTTATTTTTAATTACCTAGTATTAACTCCTTAACTTTAACCATGTATAACTTTACTAATTTATTATAAAAATATTTAATAAGTAGTTATTTAAAATTAGTAAATAAAAATTTAATAAAATATTTAAAAAGTTTTTTTAAATAAGGGCCGTAAGTTACCTATAATTTTATTTAATTTATTTATATTAAATTTATAATTATTATCCCCTGGTCCACGCTAGTTATATAACTTTAAAATATTTAAAATTAATAATAAGCTACTTAATAAAATTAGTGCTATAAAAATAAATATATTATAAAAAAAAGCTTGTAAAATAATATAAAAAAACCCTATAATATATTTATAAAATAAGGTTATTTTAATTATAATTACTTAAATAAAAAAAAATTAAAAAATATAATATTAAGCTGTGAATAAATATAGCCTGTTTTAAATAACTTTTTAATATTATATATAAGGTTATTAAACTTATTAAAAAGCTTATATATTAAGGTAAAAGTTATTTTTAATTAAAAAAGCATTTTTTAGGCGTAATATATTATATTAAGTTAAATTTAACTTTTTTTTAAATATTAAAATATTGCAAGATATTACTAATATTTTATATAAATAAAAATATAAGTAATTAGGCTATAAATTTAAACTAGTTAATATAAATTAATATAAAGCCTTTTTATAAAAAAATAAAAAGTTTATTATTATATAAAATAAAAAGTTAAAATATAAGTGCCTTTACTAGGCTAATCCTAAAATTTTTAAATATTTTATTAAGCTATTTAAATATGTTAAGGCTAAATATAAAGTTAACTATAAAAATATATAAAATATAAATAAAAAAGGCTTTATATATAGTATTTTTTTTAACTATTAGCATGTAATTTTTTTTATATAACTTATAAAAAACCATGGAGGATTTACTATAATTAATTTTTAAAATCATAATTAAATATTTATTATTAAGTATTACTTACTTTTTAGCTAGTATTTATTTTTAATAATTATTTTTAAAGGCAAGAAAGTTAATCTAAACTAGCTAATAGTGTTTACTTTAAATAAAAAGGCACTTTTTATAATTTAAAAAAAATATAATATTTTAAAGCTAGCCCTTAACTAGCTATATAATATTTTTATTTTATAAAGTTTTTATATTATTTATATTTAATATAGTAGGTATATTAAAATTTTTTTATATATTTTATTATTTAATAGCTATATATTTTATATTAGCTTTAAATTTTTTTTACTTACTAGGATTATAGCATTATATTAATTTATTTACCTTTTTATATTATTTATTTTTTTTAACTACTTAATATTAATATATTTAGCCCTTTATCTACCTAGTATACTTAAAAAATATATTAAAAGTTATAAATTAATTAATATAATATTACTTAATAAAAGTTTTTAAAATTTTTTTAAAAGGCCAGGAAAAAGGCTATATTTATAAATAATATTTAATTTACTTTTAAAATTATAGGGATTTAGTTAATTAAGCTAAAAATTATATATAATAAAGCTAGGATTAAGTAAAAAAAAAATAAAAGTAGCTTAATTAAAAAAATTATAATATTTATTAACTTTATACTAAACTTTATACCTAACTCCTAATATAAGCAGCCTTTAAATAATTATAAAAATATAATATACTAACTTAATATATTACTTATAAGTTCCCCCGTGATACAAGCCTATATTATAAATAAAATTATAAATTAATAAAAGGCTAAAAATTATAATTTTTTTTTAATTTATAATTATAGCTATTAGCTTTAAAATAGCCTTTAATATTAAAAAAAGCTTAATAAAAAAAATTAAGTAATATAAATCCCTATGCCTTAGCTATATTTTTAAGCATGTAAATATTATTAAGGCTTAAGTAAAGTAAAAAAAAAAAAAAAAAAGGCTACCGCGGCGCTTAAGCACGCTAAAAAAAAAAAATATAAAAAGGCTAAGAAACACAAAAAAAAAAAAGTATAAAAAAAGGCGGAGAAGCAGCGCCGCTTAAAAGCTATTAAAAAAATAAAAAATATATTAAAAAGGCTATTAAAAATAAAAAAAAGCGCCTTAAAAAAATTATTAATAAAAAGGCTAAAAAGGTGGATTAAAAGGCTAAAAAAAAATAGCTAATAATAAAAAGAAATATTTAAAGGCTGCTAAAAATAAAAAAAAAAAATTAATAAGGCTATTAAAAATAAAAAAAGGCGCCTTAAAAAAATTATTAAAAATAAGGCCAAGTAAAAAAGGGCTATAAAAATAGTAATAAAATATAAAGCTAAATAAAAGGCTAAACTTTTTAAGTAATTTATTAAAAAAGCCTGGCTATTAAAAGCTTTATTTATTTTTTTATTATTTTTTATTTTTATTATACCTTTAACACCCCTGCAAAGTTAAAATAAGCCTTTTTTACCTTTATTTTTAATATTATAAAATAGTTATATAAACTTAACTTTTATAAGCTAAATACTTTTAACTTTAGTTATTAAAATACCTAGTTACCCTAGCTATTATAAATATAATAATTTATTAGCTAAATATAGGTTCCTAAACTTTTAGTTAAATAATAACTTTAAAAGTTTTATAAATCCCCCTTAGTCTTATATAAAGTATTATAAAGGCTTTTTATAAAGCCTTAATATACTTATTTATAATAACTTTAGGCTTTATAAAGTGTTTTTATTTAACTAGTACTAAAATTTACTAAATAATATAGACTTATAATTAATTAAGGTTAAAAATTTAACTAAAACTAGCTAAAAAAATTATTTTAATAAGATTTTTAATAATCCCGCCATGTAACTAATTTAAATAAAAAAAAATATATTATTAAATAAAGTAAATTTATAACTATTTAATATAACTTAAATTATTATAATATTATTATATTTACATTGTTAAGATACAAACTCGTGAGATAATAATTTTGGTGTTATTTTTAAAAAGCAATTTTGCTAAGGGGTGGGATTTCGGTAATGGGTGGGCCGCTCTACAACAAGATAAAGAAATAACAAAAGAAGATTTAAAAGATCGTGGGCAGAGCGAAGGGTGGGTTCTCCAGGCGCAACTCGGACGATCCAGCCAAATGTTTGGAGTCTGGACCTTGCCAGGGTGGAGTGGGAACATCGACGATCCCTATAACCCTACGTCCAGATTGTGGGAAGTCGGCAAGCGCCGAAAACACACTCGGAATTCGGAAAACCGCCAGACAAGCCTGCAGGCGGTTCCATTTGATCCATCATGGTATTGGTCAGTAATCGACGTTTCACAGAATCCTTTGGCGTGGGCCCGACAATCAAGGCCTCGTTTGGCGTCTGCTATGGAGGTGCTGGATGCGAGTTCATGGAAAGCAATGCCTGGATTAGCGCACCTTTTGTGACTGCAAGAGCAATGGGGCTCTGTAGGTTTAGTCAGGATACCGAAGACTTATGGGCAGGCACCGTGCCCACGAGCAGCATATCAGGCTGGTTAATAGGTCACAGCCCATTCTCCTCCCAGACCCGGGCCAGAGATCTCCTACCTCCGCCCGTAAGAGACCCTAGTGAGAAGATATATGGAACACCTAATGATATTTGTTGAAGAATTGGCCGTGATGTTTTCAGCACTCTTTATGCTCCAGTTACTGTTGTTCAATAGCGTATATCATTATACTCATCTATACTATAGCTATAGAACACCCTCGTCGGATTCTTAGCATATCCTTGCAATATGTATATTCAATATATGCCATCATCTAATAAGTTGGTTTGGGTTTATTATGAGCAATGTATATACAACAAAGTATCTATACATTGTCATCCTGCTTGGTCTAAATCTGTGTGACTGCCCAGGCCCTTCCCGCCCATTATATATATTTCACATAGTGCAGGAGATCCCGAGGTCCCCATCAGAGTTAACGCTTTCGGTTTGAGGCGCTGAGCAGTGACAAGAAACCCAAGGAATCCAAAAGACAATGCGCTGCCATCAAGAGCAGACTCGATGTAATCAGAGAGCCACTTCAATACCCAACAACACCCCCATCATCATCCATCGGCCGAAACTCAACCTTCACCGGCTCCTCCCCAATCCCCCTCCTCCTCGCCTCCTGCAGGATAGCAACAGTCGCCGTCGCCCCAATCCTCGTCACCCCCAGCTTCATGACATGCAGCAGATCATCCAGGGTGCGAATACCCCCCGCCGCCTTAATCTGCACATTCGCCCCTGACATCTCACGCATCAGCTTCAAGTGCCGGACCGTGGCGCCCTTATAATTATACGAGCCATCGCCCTGCTTCACAAACCCATACCCAGTCGAGGTCTTGACGAAGGCGACTTGGAGCTCCGTGCAGATCTGGCACAGCCGAATGATATGCTCTTCTTGAAGGTACTCATTCTCGAAGATGACCTTTAAGATGGCACCGCGAGCCATAACAGCCTGGTTGATCTGCCGGATTTCATCCGTCACATACGCCCAGTCATTACCAAGAACCTTCCCAATATTGAGCACCATATCAATCTCTGCGCCCCCGGCCTCCATGGCCGCTATTGCCTCGGCGACTTTGATTTGTACCGTGCTGTTCCCATGCGGGAAGCCGATGACCGGACAGACTAGGACGTCGGTGCCTGCGAGTTCCTTTTTGGCGAGTGAGATGGCGTAGGGCTTCACGCAGGCGGTTGCGACGTTGTTTTCGCGTGCGGTCTTGAGGCCTGTGAGGATCTCGGCGTCGGTCATGGTGGGGTGGAGGAGCGAGTGGTCGATTGTTTTGGCGAGTTGGGGCAGAGTAATGGTGATGGTGTTATCGGACATGCTGGCTAGTGAAGGAGTGGTTTTCAAGACATGGGTTGGACTTACGGCGGAGATGCTGAGATATTCTGGGGCAAGGGAGGTTATATACTCAACCCCGCACGCAGTCATTGGCCGCTTACATATTGGTTCATCCACCGGAAGTCTACGGAGATCATGTGGTGAAGATCCTGGTCCGCCAGGTTATATGATCCCAAGTTCGTAATGGGATTGAAGGTTATGATAGGCACTGGTTGGTTGCTTCAATATTCGTTAAGATGTGACAAGCCGGGCATGCATCTCCACTAGGTAGCTGCCATACCGCATCCTGCTCTAGTATATTCCTCTTGAAGTAACGCCATGTTTCCAGCCTATCATCCTACATTTCCAGTTCAGCAATGTCGTACCAGTGCTATATCTTGCCATGGTGGAGTGCCACATGGAAAGCTGGCTAAGTCCCTCACAGACCTCGAAAGGACCAGGAGCGAGAGATAGATATGACATCTGGAGGAGGTACATACCATAAAGATATCTCATCGGGACCCATTATCGCCGACCAGCCTGAATAATAGCTCTGACAATCCCCACCGCACGATCAAGCGCAGCTCTGAAACGCTCCGCGCCCGTCCTCGGACCAACATAACCCACTTCCAGCCTGCCAAAACCTCATGTTAGCTGCCTAGTCCGGAGTATATGAAATCATACCGCGATACCAATGGGAAGTGGAAAGACAGGGCACTCCCGAATCCTCATTACCCGTGTAATCCATCCACACATTCCCGGCGTCCTGCATCGTGTACCCCGAATCCTGGGCTAATTTCTTCTCGATCATGGTCTGCATGATCAGGCGCGGGTAGCTGTGGTGCCACACGGGGTCAGAGAACAGCTCGGGCACGGCATCCGTATCGGGCACGCCTTTATTAACCGCGTCGTGGCTTATCACCTCCAGCACATCCATCAGTCGGAAGTAGTTGCGGCCCTCGCCGGCCTTGGCAATCTGCGCGTTCTTCTCGCGTGCCGCGCGCAGGAGGAGCGCCAGCTTAGGTCCTGTCCACACTGCTGTCTAGCGCTGCGTCGCAGAATAATACAACAAACAGCAGGACTACCTATACAATCTCCGGACGGCCTAGATGGAAGTGTGCTGTTGAGACCGTCTCCCAGCTTGCGGGCAGGTCCCGGAAGTAGATCCTGCTGGCGAGCTGGATTGTTAGGTCGACGGGGGCTTTAATGGGGGTTGAGTGCGTGAGGAGGAATGCCCTGCCTGGGGTACATGGCCTTGAGCAGGGGGCCGGCTATCCAGCTCTCCACGCGAGGATCGTCCGCCTGGGCGCGGAGCTGGCTGTATAGTCTGCGACCGAGACTGCCTGGGGCAGAGAGGGCGTGAGCCTTGCGGCGGAGCTTGGTATACTCTTCCTGCGTGTGGGAGAAATGGCCAATGCAGTTAAGAAGGTCGGTAATGGCTCTGTCCAGGTTGACGAGCGGGTGCCGGGGTAGCTCCTTGCTAGCCTTGTAGTAGAAGTCATGATTTAGTGCAAAGTGGTGATTCTCTGGTTTAACGTGCCTATTCTTATGCTTTCCTTCAACCTTCCCATTTTGCGTGATTGATGCAGCGTGCCCTTTCCTCGATGAATGCGCCAGCTGGTTGAAGACGGGGTTCTCAAGGAGGTGCTCGTCATTGGCGTCTAGCAGGGACTGGTGCGGGTGTGTGGTGCTCACGCGAGAGATTGCTCATGGCATATTCGATATTCGCGAAGAACTCGTCGAAGGTGATGTCCATGACGCTATTCTACCGCACGAATGCACGCATGCCGCCGATAGACATGTTATTGTCGCTTTCTTGTGTTTTCTTTTGGGTTGCGCTTGCTGCGCCCGCGATGGCTTGGGTGGTGAGCTGGGCGATGGAGTGGCGACAGTTGCCTGATTCTAGGAGGCAGGGTATTAGACAAAGTGCAGAAAACGGGGAGAACTCGCAAAGAGAGCGCGATGATAATACAGCATGATTAACTCGGGGCTCAGGAGGAGTTCGCCTTTTCCGTTTTGCTGCCGTTTTCAACCAAGCGCCGATTGTGAATTAGATACGTGAGGAAAATTGGTAGTAATTGGAGCAAATCAAGTTTATTCATTGCATAAAAACCGCAACAGTATGAAGCTGTACATCGTCAAGTGTAGCCAGAACTCCGGTATTCGAACAAGGCATGAGCCGCAGGGTAGCCTGTCCTCATTCAAACAAGTTGAACAGTAGGTAGCATTCACAATCCGCTCAATCCAATCACATGCGAATAATATCAACGCTAACCCAAGACGCGGCGGCCCACACAGCCGTAAGAAGTTTGAGGTTCGGAAGACAATACCTATTGTAAGGCTGTTAGCTGATAGGCGAAGTATGCACCGTAAACAAATAGGGATACATACTCTTCTGCAGCGAGGCCAACAAACCCACCCCAAAAAAGCCACTGCGCCGCCCAGAGAAGAAACATGAATATGACCGCGGTCGTATACGGCGATTTATATGGTTGCTCGGAAGCCGGCGGCGGATGGTCTTCAGACTGTTGCGCGGAAAAAGTGCCGTATACCCGGACACTTGCACCTGCACTGTGACGGTCTCCTAGCGTCGGATCCGAACCTGCGAGCGGCGTCTGCTCGGACCTCTCCCGTTTCGCAGGCGGGCTGGGGCTGGGACTAGGACGACCAGCCGGATCGCCAGATCCGGTCACCCCATCTCCGACGATCTTCTCTTCAGACAAGCATAGCTGAATAAGCGCGGCGCCGATCAGAAAAACCCACATGAGGGCTCCGGCATACATGATTGTCGCCATGTCTCCTCTATCCGCGCCGACCAGAGCTCCAAGGTAGGAGTCATGTTGTAGGCCGTAGCTGACGGTCTTGAACATGTAGTATAGCGATAGGGACTGCGTGATGCATTCCGCATACAGGATTGTTGCGGCCGCAGATTCTTTGATCGTTCCTGAGTGCTGCGGGGCAACCAGCACAATCCCTAGTAACACCCATGAGAAACGAGGCATCGAGGACCAGAGGAGCGTCAACTGGAAAGCCGGGACGTCGTAATATCTGGGGGAGCTTTGCACGATCAAGCTGTTGATCCAGTTTGTAAGGATGTGCAGGCCCGCGATTAATGTCGCCTTCATGACGCAAAATTGCGGGTGTGAGGACCATGGGGATTCCTGCGCAATACGCGGGCGGGATGCATATGTCTGCTTGCTGCGAAACGCGGCAAGGAACGTAGCTATGTTGACTAGGGCAGAGCTTCCTAGATTCCACGCGCTCGGATAACTTGGTTTCATTAACCCGCTGTCTCCAGGATGTCTATATGAGTCGTTGGACGGCTTGACGGTCCACCGCCACGGAACCATTTCACTAGGGCTCGGGACGGCTAACTGACGCCAATTATCCGGCAGGCCGTGCCAGCCCTGGACATCGCTGCAGAGATCGTGGAGCCACTTGAGGTAGTCCATTCTGTTCTCGAATAAGTGGCATGAGCCGCCGCAGGAATCATAGCTGATGCTGCGGCAGACGCATGCCCGATCAATTGCACGCCTGACCTTGCAGTAGCCGCTCACGTCGAGATCGCATGCATCAGTCGCACATTGATCTGGAAGCTCGGTCACTTGCTTCGGCATATCCGCGACACACTGGGGCCAGTGCCAGCGTTCGATGGGGATATAGGCGTATTGCGTGGTTTTGAGGCTGTCCGCCCAGTGCTGAGGTAGAGACGCCGGTCCGCATGTGGCGCTAATCCAAAGGCGCTCTTTCGTGACATCCAATTGTCCAGAGGCAGAACAGGGTTCGTTTTCTAGATTGAGCGTAAAGGCGTTACAGAAGCATTCTTTATCGAAATAGTCACCGTCTCTGATGTGGCGTCCGATGGCGTTGTAACCAGCCGTTTCGTAATCCAGAGCGATGATGGACCGTTGCGATTCGCTATATTCCCACGGACGAGCGGCGTTCCCAGTGTGCTGGGTAGTACTCGTGAACCCGCAAGATGCCATTACACCTTGAAACGACTCCTCTGATCGAGCGGAAATCGCGCCGATCAGACATGTTGGTGCCTTGTCAGTCGTTTCGATGGCTGCGAATCCTTGGTCCAGGGAAGCCGGGGAGAGATCTTGCAGACCGATCGCGTCGCCGACATGAGACAGCCACGTTCGACCGGTGGTGGCATGAATCCAGTGGTACAATTGCGCGTGGGCGAGGATTGATCTGGCACAGTACGGGATATACCGATCAAGGACGTCCGGAGAAAATGCGGTGCTAAGGCAGCTGAGCTGGGTCAGCCACTGGTGGTGGGTGCAGATGATTCCGAAGTGGGAGGTGCATCGCTTGGTGGTGCATTGTGTTATGGCGCTCAGCCAGGAGGACTGATCTTGCTGGGCGATGCACTGGGGCATGGGAGGCAGGTCCTCGGGGTTAACCCAGCCATCGTGGTTGCTTTGTGGGAACACGCTAAGGTCGTCCCCGTTGTGGTCGGTGTTAGCGTCGACGGGGAGCGTTCCTGGAGTCCACAGAGCTTAGCGCCGATGATGGATGGAGGCGGGGCAACCTACCTCTTAAATCCAGTCCGCGAACTGCAGCAATGAGGAGCGCAAGACATGCAGCCGTTGCTCTCATCTTGCTGGTAGGCCCACTGTCAACGCACCTCCAGGACTGTTAACGGGAGAATTGGAAGGGTGAGGTGGGTGTTGGAGTGCGGGGCAGCAGACGCGCCAAGATATCTGGCTTACTCAGCGAGGACTAAGCATAATGCTTTCTGCTCATTGGCTGATTTCCACACAGGGTCTTTGCTAGGAGACTGGCACCTTAATATACAGATACAGATGAAAGCTTACAATGGGAGCTTTGGTGTTGGGTGTGCTATAAGGAGCATATCAAACAACCTCGGAAATAATACCATATACTATTTATACACCTTCCAATACGCAGGGTGTTCTAGATGCAGAGTTAAGGCTCCAGATCCTTGCAAGGCTAGGATGGGTACTTTGTTTTCAAGACTGTAATTAGCTAGAATGCCCCGCCTAGGCGGAAGTGGCTTTGGAAGTCTAGACACCTAGAAAGAAAGCTCGCCGCGCTGTAAAAGGGTTTCACGGAGACTAATTGAAAGGTATTCGGCCGGACTTTGTTGGAAGGGATCGGGAACGGTCTCGAGCATTCTATTCCTGAGAAATTGCAGCGCAACGACAATTGAATTCCCTAGTGGCGAAGTGCAGGCAGGACTATCGGAGCACTCCAATATTTTTTCAAGTGTTGGTCACCAAGGGATAGTTATGATGGGACGTCACTTGAAAAGACCGTGCATCAGCCACGGATCAAAGAGAAGTTCTTTTGCAGTGGCTCGTTGCTCCGGTAGCCAGCATAACATGCGTCGGAGAAAACGCAAGAAGTCGCTCTTTTCATCGCCATCGAGTCTTTCCTCCCGCTCTTCCAGGGTATGATGTGGTAGCTGTGCGCCTTTCCAGTGGCCTGATGCGGACATGAAAGTTACCAGTCAGCATTGAATTGTGGGCTCATTGATAGGAGGATTCGCGAAGTGGTGGGCGGAGGTAGGTACGCACCATTTTCATCCCAGAAGAGGAGGCTCCTTTCACTGCGGGCCAGGAACTCAAGAGGGGGTGGCCCCAGAACAGCCTGCATCTCAGCAAGATGAACGCCATCATCCAATTCGCGCTCGGCATTCCGGGCGTGGAACAGGTGGCGGCGTTGGAACAGACTCCATATCTCAGGCATAGTCAGTTTGGTTGGATTGCGAGATGGAGGGGATACACAATTAGTCGTCTTACCACCATGCCGACATTCCAGATGTCGACTTTGTAATCCCAGCTCATTTTCAAGATAACCTCTGGCGCGCGATAGAGATCCGGCATGATATCGCCCTGTTGCTTGTCCGTGCCGACGCGCGCCTCACCGAGATCACACAGAACAGGCGTCCCATACGATATGGGAAGCGGGCGTGAGAGGTAGATTGTGCGGTCATTATACGTCTTCCGCGGCATGGGCGTCTCAAATTCTGCTTGCTCGATGTTGGAGAGGATGGACTCGTCCTTGATGCCGAGGAGGATATTATTCGGCTGGAGATCTGGCCGTGAGTTAGTTCCTGCTAGGTAGAATTTCGCTCACCATGGCGGCACCAACCGGTATGTATAACTCCAGCTTCGGTATGGAGGAAGTCCAGAGCTGCTAGGACATTCCGGATGGTCGTTCTCACGATGGCACTACTCATTACGCCCCTAGGTAGCAGCGACGTGAGCTGATGCAGACTTATCCCAAGGGGCGGGTGCACCAGACAAGTGTGGACGCGTTGTCGATCTGGGCTTTGGGTCTGAAAGACCTCAAGTAACGGTCGTAGACACGAGCGACCCGCGTGGTCTGACTGGACGGTGTTGAGGTGGTTGTAGATTTCGATCTCCTGGGTCACTGTTTTTGAGGCGATGTAGATCTTCAAGGCGATATAGCGGTGGCCCCTGCCCAGTTAGATTGGCGGAAGGGTAGGGAGATGGGCCATACACTAAATCCCGGCATAGCCACACCGTCGCACTGGATCCATAGCCCAACTTGCTAACCACTTGATACCGGTGGTTGAATACCTCGCCGATACGGGCTGGATAAAACTTTTCGGGTGTATAGGTGGCAATGGACTCTTCTTCCACTGGGATCGACGGGTCGATGGTGTCCCATCCAGAGCTAGGGAAGACGCGCGGTCCGGAGCGAGGGCGAGTGGCCATTCCACGCTTGGTTACTGCTGGAGCAATGACCAGGTGGGAACGGAGACTTGTTGAAGCAGAAGAGGCACCAGAGCATTGTGACAGTAGGTAGGATAGACGGCCTTTGTGCATGGTTGGTGACTGGCGCAGGTTTGTTGATCTGGCGGAAGTTGGAAGCGCCGTCGGCCCCCTGCGCAGGTCACATGCTCAGCCAATGAGAAGGCTCCGATTTATACATGGGCGCTCTGCCCCTGTCCTCGATGTTATTATTCAAGGAATCGAGAACCATTCAAACCGCAACTTCTCTGTGTCTTGAGACAGTACAGGTGGATTGGGTTGCCGCCGAGTACGATGGGTGCCGTATCCTGATTGAGGGATCCTACCATTCGACTTGGACTTTTTCTGAGGTGCAATTGCCTTCCATGTCTCCAGCGTGACACAAAAGGGTATGTTCACTGATAGATCCAAAGCACTGCTTTACAAGAGTAAAGTGCCCAGCGCAGTGAGGAGTTCAGGATCTTTCCGTGCCCGGAAAGTCAATGGTTCAACTACGATGTTAGAGTTGATTTTAGGAACACAGCCTGAAAAAGAATAAAAGCTGTTGGTGTTTATGGACCTCATCAAGGGCGACGGTTAAGCTGTTGTGCGTGCTGGACCCTGATCCATAGTTAGGTAGGGGCTTTAAATGCACTCCCTTAACACCCAACCCAACTAAAGAAACGACCTAACCTCAACAAAAAGATCCCTCACACCTCTAAGTACACCCATCCGCCGATCTAAACCAACATCAGCAAGTCCGAGCAAAAGCACAAAGTACGCCAGAAACCTAGCGTATCTCAGGAGCCTTGCAAGGAGCAGACCTCGTTTGACGGCTTCCCTTTCCTGCTCCAGACTCCAGTTCCTCTTGATACCGACGCTGTTCCGGACGGAGAGTTTCTTGATGTCGTTGACCGAGTAGGGTGGACGCATCCAGTCGCTCATTCTGAAGAAGAAGGGCGTTGGACGGGCGATTGTGCGGTAGTGTGTGAAGGCTTTGAAGCCGTAGTCGCCGTGGTAGGCGCCGTGGCCGGATTCACCGACGCCGCCAAAGGGGGCATTAGGGACCGTTGCATGGACGAGGACGCCGTTGACGCAGACGCCGCCGGAGATGGTGGAGGATATAACTGCACGAGTCAGTTTAGCACAAGGGCTGGACGAGACACATACTATGCTCAACCTCGGTCTGATCTTGACTGAAGATGTAGAGCGCTAGAGGGCGAGGCAGGCTTTACCGATCAATTGTGATCATCGGATGGGTTGGAGGACGTACCTGTTTATCGACTCGATAGCATCGTCCGTCGAACCCTTGATAACAGGACAAATAGTGCCAAAGAGTTCCTCAGAGAGCAGGGGGTCCGTCAACTCCACGTTGCTCACGACGCTCACTGGCAAACTGCGGGCTTTGGCATCAGGTGTCCCATCCAGCTCGACCTTGCCCTTTGTCTTCTCCGCCATTTCCTTCAACCGCGTGTAGTTCCTATCGTTGATGATATGCGTCATGGAGTCCGGATCCCCCTTATTGAACCGATCAAGCCAAAACGCCATGCGCTCGATGAGCCTCCTCTCAACCGAACCATGAACAAAGACATGGTTAACCGAGAGACAGATCTGACCGGCATTGAGGTATTTGATCCACGCAATATCCTTCGCCGCAGCGTCAATATCTGCCGAACTCGTCACAATCGCCGGGCACTGTCCACCCAATTCGAACACAGTCGGAGTGAGATGCTTCGCGGCCGCGGCAGCGATATGGCGCGCGACAGGAGCGGACCCGGTGAAGAAGATATGGTCGAACTTGCGCTGAAGCAGACGGCCTGTTTCAGCTGGACCGCCGGTAACGACGCGGACGGCGCTTGGGTCGAGGTACTTCGGGACAAGGTCGACGAAGAGCTGCTGGACAGAAGTCGTGACCTCGGACGGCTTGAGCATCGCCGCGCAGCCGGCGGTAATCGCAGCAATGAGCGGCTGGACCATGAGCGAGAAGGGGAAGTTCCACGGTCCGATGATGAGAGCAACGCCCAGCGGCTCAGGACGCACGGTCGGTCGAAGCAGGAGACCCATCATCCCGGCATTGGGTTTCTGGTCGGCGGTCCAGTTGTCGATGTTCTTGAGGTGGTTGATTAGATCTTCCTTCACGTTCGAGCACTCGACCAGGGTCGTTTCGAAGGGGTGACGGTTGAGATCCTTTTTTAAGGCATCGTGGATAAGAGTCTGGTTGTCGTCGACGAGCCACCAGATCTGCTTGAGCTGCCATTTGCGCCAGGCAATCTCCTTGGTCTTGCCTGATTTGAAGGTGTTCTGGAGGGTGGTGTAGGCGAGCTCGACGTTCGCGTCGGAGGTATACTCGGCCATGGTGGAGGAACTGGGGTGAGGACAAGGCCACGGTCGGAGATTGAGAGTTGACCTCAATCACTGAAAGAGGAAGAGGTGAGTTCTTGAGGCCAAGAGCCGGGCCTCCGTAAACAGAGCGGCTGAGGTAGGTGCAGTGCAGGAGCGCACTTTCCGAGTCGAGTAAAGACCCGAAGATGCAGATGTCTATACGTGCGTCAAGGGTACCACAAGACTGCCATGGTGATCTCCTCCTTTTCAATCTCCAGCCCATTAGCTGGCCAAGGACCATATCCTGGCTCAAGATCTCCGCACCTTGGGAAACCGAAACGCACCGCGGCCCGGCGGTTGGATAAATCCCACATGATGGAAAGTGAACCTTCGCTCAGGCGGAAAGTCCAGAAAATCTATCCAAATGTAAAATCATCCAGAAAACATCATTCAGGTATCCAACATCAATCCCATCAATCCGTAACCAATCCATCTATCTGCCGTAGTATATACATCCAAACGCCTTGCCCAAAAGAAATACACCGAGCTCCCGCAGGCTATCCAAAATGCCGATGCCACCAATCCTTCTTCCAACTTCCCCCAAACCGATGATTAATGCAAGCTTGCGGACTTCCGAAGCCCTCTGCCCCGCTGTGTCGCTGCCCATTGCCCCACGCATTAATGGGTAACACGCAGACTCCTCCCATCGACTTTCCCGCGGTGGCTTCCTGCGCATCGACACAGACGGGCTGGTGTATCTTGTGGAACGGAGCCCACGTGAGACGGCGAGTGCGTTCTCCCCATGTACCGGTAACCAAATCGTTGATTCCCTTGTCTGCTTCAACCGAAGCCGTGATCAGCGAGTGCGTAGTCGGGAGTGCGTCGGAGAGTGCGTCCAAAATAGCGTCCGTAAAGACGCCCGGCCCCGTAACCTCCAGAATCGTCTTCTCGTTGTACTGCGGGCCAACGAACGGCAGACTATACCGATTATGCTGGCGCGTATGCGATAGAACCCGGACAATGACTTCCCGCAGCAACGGGCTGAAACGCTGCGGCGCGTAGAAGGTATACTGGATGAGGCCGTACGTGCGGATCCAGTGCCAGTCGCGCATCAGCTGCGGTGAAGCATGCGGCTCGTCGATTTCGATTCCGACAGCGAGCGATATATTTGCGTTGATGGACTCACCGAAGAGCGGTGCCAGAGACGGGCACTCCTTGATTGATTTCGCCGGGTAGACGTCCGAGTCCGCGTAGTATCCGCCATAGTACCAGAGCAGCAGGTATCTGAGGAGATCAGAACGCATGACGTGGTAGGGGTAGGAATCGTAGAGCGTATTGAGCTCGGGGACTGCCGCGAGGATCTCCGTAATGAAGTGTTTTGCCGGATCATCTGTTACGAGCTGTTGACATTAGCCCGCTTCGCAAACCCAGGGCTCTCCCAAATAATCGCTGCAACTCACAGTATAGGCCCACTCCCCATTGCTAGCCGTAAACGCCAACGAATCCGCCCCTCGCTCAGGTTGTCCATCACCAGCACCAGTATCCCCCAGTCGAATCTGCCAGATGCGCTCCTCCGCCACGCGATCTCCATTCCCGCTCAGGACATTCTCCTCGATCTCACTCAAGGCCTCCGAAACCCTCCTCTCAAAATCATGATCCGGCGCATCTCGATACGGCGAATGGTGTAAATATCGCGGGACATCCTGGACCTCGTAATCGGGCAGCCACTTCCCGCCAACGACGCGACGGGGGTTCGGCGCGAACACCGGAAGCAACGAGCGGAAGAGGAAGAAGAGGAAGAACGCCGCGATGAGGAGTGGCAGGCGGCGGCGCATGATCGGCGGCGGCGCGAAGGGCGTCGAAGGGCGTGATTTGGTCATTTTGTTCAATGATCAGGAGAGGGGAAGATAGAATTGATGAAAAGCCAGTAGCAGTCTCAGGAACACGACATGGCTGAGCCGCAAACGGCAGTGGGAGACAGCGGCGGGGGGAATGGGGAATAAAAGCAGGAGCAGGAGCAGCCGGTCTCTGAAACAAAGAACTCTCACAGCCATTTTTATTTTGAGAATTCCAGGATCCTGGGGCCAAAAAAAGCTCAGCTCAAGCTCGACGATCCTGATTTCAGGCTACAAATGACTCCGTACAGATTGTCGGATCAACACCACCAACCTGAAACCAAACCTCTCAGACCACAGGACAGGGTCCGGTCCCTGAACCGCCCTATGAGTAAAGCATGAGAAAGCATCGAGCGGCGCCCTATAAGCGTTCTTGGTCTGGCCTGGGCAAGCCCACTGCGGCTTAGCTGAGCCCATGGATCGAATCAAATGCAGTGGTTTCTCGTGCTGAGGCCCACTGCCTGACGGTCGCGATCCACTGCTGGGGCTGTGTGACGTGTCTCAGGTTCAGATTCAGGAACAGACAGAGTCAGACAGAGAACTAGGGCGGAGATACGAAGCTGGAGCCCGGGAGTGAGAATTATAGCGGCTGTGAAGATGCAGTCGGGGAGTCTCGCCCGTCACCGGGACCTCCTTGCATTCCAGCCGGAAACGTCCTGTCCCGATAGCGCTTTAGCAGGATAAAAAATTTGATCACCGCTACCGGGACAGGCACGCGATTACCCAACGCAGGGTACATACTTCGGAGTCCAGTACGGAGTATAGATGCATTGTTCCGGATGCATCCATTCCCGGCGTCTTTCTTGTCGCACAACAAATTTCCGAACCGCGAGACAGACCAGGAACCCCGGGCTTGGATGGACAAGATCGTGAAGATTGTGCGACCATGCAGTGGTGGTACTCCAGAAAGGATGTGACAAAAGCCAGTAGCTGTTCCATTAATCTCTGCCTATGTATCGAGATACAAACGATCATCACTTCTTAGCGTGTCGAGAACATGAGCTTAATGTATATTTCGGATTCTTGCGCCGCGGTCATGATCCCGCAATGATAGCCCGACTTCAGATCAAAGCACCCAACCGTCGTAGACCTCGTCATAGACCTCATCATCGCCATCGTCGTCTCCATCGTCGTCGCCATCACCTCCATCACCATCCCCGTCGTGGTCGCCGTCGTGATCGCCGCCATGGTCGCCGCCATGGTCTCCGTCCTCCACCCGACAGAGTCGTCGGTCGGCTCGCTGCGTCCACTCCTCCGACCCGACCGTGGTCTTGGCATAGAATATGTGGTTCGGATCATACTGGGCCTTGATCTTTCGTAGACGCGGATAGTGTTTGCCAAAGTAGGCCCACTGGAAGTGTGGTTGGTTGAAATCGCCCTGCTCCTGTTAGTCGGGTCTCGGCTGAGTGCTGTGAATGCATACCTCGCTCAGATACGCTCCGGACTTGGGCGCAAGTGCAGTTAAGCGTGGCACATACTCCTCTGTGATCCTCCGCACGAGGTCCAGATTCTGCGCATCCAGGTTGTATATCCACGTCGTCCGGACTATGACGTGGATCAAGGTGTCCCTCCAGGCAGGCAAGACCGAGTTGTAGACGTCGCCGGCTACAGCCTTGGACACGTTGAGGCAGGTGTTTCCCACAATGACAATGCCATCTTGCACCATAGATCGGAATGCAGCTGTGACGGCGCTGTGGTTGCGTTCAATGAGTTCGCGGGGTAAGAGCCAGGCTCCGTACTGTGCAATATTAACTATCATGGGTTCCATCATTCCCTGGTAAAAAGCCAAGTAGTCTTGAAACTGGGCAGGTATGAGTAGATACGTGAGGCCAAGGGCGTCCAGCTGGGCCATATACGGCGAGAACAATCGCACAAGCTCGTCGACGGGGATATCGGGCCCGGCCACCGGTCCAATCGAAAAGGTCTCGTTGCTTACGCTGGTTGTCGCTTGTGCTCCGGCGTCAACGATCGCGGGTAGATTCGGCGGAAAGAGATTGATCGCTTCCCAGTATCGGTCCGAGGAAAGGTCCTGTCTCGGCAGTATCAAGCTCAGGCCAGACACCGGCCCGTCCGGGTAGAGCTTCACGGTAAGAGACAGGACAACCGCATAGGTGCTTCCGCCGCCGCCAGAAAGCGCCCAATAGAGATCCGAATGTTCATTATCCCTGGTTGCCACGAGATATCGTCCCTGTCCGTCGATGACTTCCCACGCCAGTGTTTGATCTGCAGCCAGGCCATACCGAGAGGAGAGAGACGAGTGACCTGCACCCTGGGTGTAGCCACCAGCAATGGCAACTGTCGGAGCTTCTCCAGCGACAACTCGGTAGCGCTTCGCGTTGGCAGCAGCAATCGCCTCGAGTCCTTGCACTCCGGTACCCATTGTCATGGCAGGTCCTTCATAAAATTTATCTCGGTAGTGGTCGGTGATGTTGATGTCTTTGAGGTAATGCACCCAGACCGCCAGGCCACCGGCTCCGGTAGATTTTCCCTCGTAGTCGTGTCCGGTGTTGCGTATGACGAAGCGGATGTTGTGCTTGTCTGCGAATTTCAGGGTCTTGATCACATGCTTGGGCTCACTGACGTTGACGGCGTAGACGACGTAGTTTCCCAACTCGCAGGGTTGCTCGATCGGATGGAAAGGATCGCAGGTGTTGTTGCCGAAGTAGGGGGCCATGAGGGACGAAGAGGATTCGTAGCTAAGCCGGTCAGCAAAACACTTGAAGTGGCAAAAGCGACACATACTGCGGCTGCGGAGCAAACCATGATACCTGAAGCTCGGTACAGAACACCGGGTCGTACTGAGGCGAATGGCACGGAGCTGCCAGCGGAATCGTCCTGATCAGGCGACCATCAACAGAGCGATTGAACTGGTCCCAAGTCTCGCTCGATGGCCAGCAGGGATCGCCAGGGAAGCAGCGGCAGAAGGTGGCCGCAACGGCGGTGATGACGGTGAGAAATATGAGGGCCCTCATTGTTGTGGGTATTGGAGACGGAAGAGGCCTTGGGAGCCCGGAGAGCTGGCGGTTGTGCTCTGCTCTTGTATGAACCCGCCTCGCTCCTTCCTCGTCCAGCAACACTGAGTCCCTCTTGACGCAGGAGCGGGCTTAAAGCCGGAGTTAGGCCTGCCATAATCTCGCGTTCGGAGTCCTCAGTAATCCCGAAATTACTGTGTTACCGTGTCATTGCTGGACCATACTTTGAAGGAGGCTTCCACCGTATGTCAAGAGACGTGTAGCTGGTTGAGTGACAGTCATCATTCGTACCATTGTCCGTTTGCGCTGCGGGGCGTCCTCTACTTTGATATCAACATTGTGTCGCTGCCATCAACTAGAGATACGTCTACTGCATATATAGTTGTAAAGTCCCAGCCTCGGTCATTAGTTGTCGAAAGTAAATATCGGCGAACATTCTCCGACGGGGTTCAAGGCGGGGGAGCCTGATTTGTCAGAAATGAAGTCATCGCCAGCCCCGCCATCAACACTTGCTTCCCATATATCCCAGCTAACCTCAGCATCTCCAGTACTCTATACCAGATATTCCATCGTCAAATATTGCAAAATGCCTAAGCTTTTCATCACCGGCATAACCGGCTATATCGGCGGCGACACCTTCCACGTCCTCTCGCAGTCGCACCCAGACTTCGAATTCTCCGCACTCATCCGCACAGAGGAGAAGGCCAAATACGTCCGCGAATTATACCCCAATGTCCGCGTCGTCATTGGGGAGCTGGACGACGCCGATAAAATCGAGAAGGAGGCTGCTTGGGCGGATATCGTGCTTCGTATGCTTACCCCTTCCTCTATTTAAACCGGATACTGATGAGGACAGACACCGCCGACTCATCTGACCATGTCGGCGCCGCAAATGCTATCGCCAAGGGTCTTGTCTCGAGTCACTCGAAAGTACGTCCGGGATACTGGATCCACACTGGCGGGACCGGCATCTTGACGTACTTTGACAGTGAGGTGCGCAAGGTACATGGCGAGCACGATGACAAGGTGTTTAATGACTACGTCGGTGTCTCGGAACTAACCAATCTCCCGGCTGATGCATTCCACCGCAATGTCGACAAAATAGTGCTCAAGACGGGCGTTGAGCATGCCGACAGTGTGAAAACAGTCATTGTCTGCCCGCCGACAATCTACGGGCGCGGACGGGGGCCCGTTGCGCTCCGCGGACGCCAGGTGTATGAGCTTGCGAAGTTCGTGCTGGAGGAGAAGTATATCCCCGTCATCGGCAGGGGATTAGCGCGATGGAACAACGTCCACGTGTATGATCTAAGCCAGTTGTTTGATTCTCTGGTGAAAGCGGCGCTTGATCCCAAGAGGAAAGACGACAAGGAGATCTGGGGCGAGAAGGGGTATCTCCTTGCTGAGAATGGCGAGCACGTGTGGAGTGACCTGGCCAAGCTGGTCGGTGAGCAGGCGCATAAGCTTGGGTACTTGAAGGAGAAGCCCGAAGTCAAGCAGCTGTCGCTGGAGGAGGCGATGAACTCGCCGGCTGGCTTTGAGGCTGCGAGCTGGGCGTGGAATTCTAGGGGTCAGGCACAGAGGGGACGCGAGGTGCTGGGCTGGACGCCGAAGAAGAGGAGTATTGAGGAGGAGGTGCCGGACATTATTTCTGCGGAAGCTCAGCGGTTGGGCTTGTAGAGTAGATGGGCGATCCAAGTTAGACAATGGGTTATATCTTGCGACGTGCTTGCATTACGAAAAATGGTGTAAATCTCATTCGAATGCCTGCATCAAATATATATCTTGCTTGCTCTCCAGGATGAGCTTATTGAAACTTTCCTCAGCGGATTGATCGAGTAGTCTCTAAAATAAGAGAGCATCTAGAAACCAGTCTCTTACGCCCGAAAGCCTCTCCTCACTGTCTTTTTTTGTCTTCTCGCTGCCTTCTTGCTCATTCCGCACCTCCGTTCCTCTTCTCTGACCCCTCTACCTGTCACTTGGGCCCAGTCATGATAAGTCAGCTTAAACTTTCGATCCGGCCGTTATACCGAACAGAAACTTCCTCTCCTTACCTCGTATCGCCCAAACCAGTGCGGAACTTAGATTACGCCCTGGTCTATAGCGAACATCAGGCCAGATGCCATGACGTCATCAACGGCCGCACGAAGCACACCGTATGCAACGCCCACCGACGATCTAGGGACTTGAGGATACTTTCCAACGTTCAGGATCTCTACTAGAGGCAATAGAGTCTTGCAGGTTCGAAATTGCTTCCAGCTGGAGAGTCCACTAAAACTCACAGTCGCTCTCGGATGCGGAAGCGGCTAGCCTGTTCGAATAGTAACTTGTTACGGCTACTGTACCTATCATGGATAGCTGGACGGGGTAGACGCTTTCATATGTAAGATAGCGCCTTAATAGGATGCTGCGCCTTAGTTGTCCTGGGCTTCGCTTCTTGCCGTAAGATATCACCAGAATTCTAACCTCTCCATATCCTTGGTTGGCCGATTCATCTGTTTCCCGTCTCTATCAGTAAAATCTGGGGCACCTTTCTCTCTCGCTGGTAGAAGCCGGTTCCCGCAAACGCGAGACTGTACGTAGCAGCACTCAGTATTCAAGTCAAACCGTTCTTTCCCATCCCAAATGTAGCATGGTCCATATGTTCTTCCCACCGGGGGTTCTGGATAGGAAGGCTCTACCCAGCTTTTCTGTAGACCACGGCATCGTGAAGTTGCCCGGCTTCGTCCTCCCCACACGTTTTCCTGCCGGAGTGGCAGACATTGCGATCTTTGTTTATCTCCTGGATAATGGACAGACTGGGTGTTTCCCTTCTTCCTGATGATGCCAGCGCTGTGTTTCTCATCATGCTGGTGCATATCTCAGCGCAGCAGCCAGGGACAGTGCCACTGACTACTAATGCTAATGCGTGATAGGCGGGTGCCCTAAGAAGTCTGCCTTCACTCTTCCACTCACCACCAGGCTATATCTGGCCGCCTCTTCCCCCTGGAGATCCCACTCCCATTTTCATCCACGTTTCGCTTTCGATTTTCCTCAAGCTCTTGTTCCTTTCGTCCTCGCCTTCCACTCGTTCCCCAGTCGCTCGCTTCTCTTCTCGCAAAACACATTCTTCCCTTGCTTCTTGGAGTCCTTCATTTGGACGATTCTTGTTTTTTGACTTGCATTAATCATGGCGTTTACTACAGTCATGATATTCACTGGTCCTACTTGGAATGATTGGGTCGACCCGAATGGCGACACCACCATTATTGTCCCTGTCAACTTCGCAGCTACGACTATTACAGACAACAACGGTATGCTCCTCTCTCATGGGTATACTACCCGCGTAGTCTGACACACGCACTTGGAACTGCCGCTGACGCCGACGAAGTTCCGGGCCAGGGATTTATTCAAGGAGAGCTGCCCGAGGACCCAGCTCAACCTGTGATCGCTCTCTTCCGCGTATCAAGTGATCGCTTGAGTGTGGCATGTCCCGACACGTTTGGGCGAATCCTCAACAGCCCACAGATGCACAACCAGCGTTTCGCAAATCGGCACGCCCACTATACCACATCTCCATATGATCCCATAGCTTTTGGGATTTTTCTGAGAATGCTTTACCGAAATCCCGGTCGTCCCGCTCTGAACATTATGAAGTTTGATCAGGTCATGAAGCTCGCCCAACTCGCGGTCCATTACGGTGGCCCGGGTGGCGCTCAAGTTAAAGACGACGTGTCTACGTGGATTCGGGCCCGAGAGGTCCCAATGCCTATCGAGAATGTCAAGGTCTCGGTGAAGGCAATTTGGACTGCCATTCTCCTTAATATGGAAGACCAGTTCGGCCCTTCAACGTTCAATGCAATATCGTGGGCAACCGAGGAGATCACTGCCTTCGGCACCCCAGTTCCCAACCCAGTCATCGTCGATCTAAACTCACACAGAGACATTGCCATTACAGAGGTCCTCGAGAAGTGGCATGCTGCTCTCCGTGATTTCAAAAACAAGGACTGGGTATGCACTCCCGATTGCAAGGACCGGGTGCGCGAATCATTGTTACAGCACATGGGATGTCACCCTTTGCTTTTCCGCACGACAAAGCGGCCTTACCGTGGTTTCTCTTACCAGGAATTGGTGAACTTAATGTTGTCCTTTCAATGCCCGAAAGACAGCACGATCAACCATACGAAGGAGCATCCTCAGCAATTTAGCTTCGCCGAAGCGTGGGAAACAACTCATCGGTGCCCTCGTGCTCTGTGTTGGAAGGACTATGTCTTCGACACACATGCGCAAGAGGCCGAGCAACATTCTTCACAAGAACCCCAGCAGCAAAATTAGCAACAGCCCAAGAGAACAGCTGCGCGCTCAATGAATGCGTTGGTATTAGGCTCATACTTCGGGGTGAAGAGAGACGAAATCTGTTTCTCGTTACTTTACTTTCCTACAATGTTCTTTCTAGGTTGTTGTCCATCTAGTGTCGCGATTTCTGTCCATTTGTCGTTTCATTCCGCATGTCTCTCTTCGAGGTCTCACAGACCAACTCCGGTTTTGTCTACTTTCGCACTTCTCACTATAGGTGCAATTTACATCATGTTCCAGTCGATGCTCGCTGAAGCTGTAATTAGCCCTTTCGCTAGTCTAGATGTTCAGAACTACGAGATCTTCAACCAAGTCCGGACATGGTCGCCTTTTTTTGCATCGTAGGTTCCAGTCGCCAATGTGGTCTACGATATAAGTCATTCTCGCCAAATAAGAACGCGTCCAGTGTGGTCTACTAACTGTGGAGTTGGACCATAGAATACGGCTGTGGACGTCGAACTCGAGCACCTTGTGGGCAGAACTCTTGCAACGGAGACTTGGGCTTCAGATATTCTATATTTTGCAAAGAATCATCTGTGTATTTTGTTCATCTTGAGAGATGATGACCCTCCGATTTCTGTGGTTGTGATGCTGAGATGCTTCAACCTTCCAAGGTTGTTTCCTGCCGATCTGCGCGATGGTGCTGTGCTCTACAATGGTCTTTGCTTACAATGGTCTTTGCTTGGGTCGATCGCGCCTTCGAACATGCATCAGACCCTATTCTCAGTGGCTATAGGTTTTATAGCGGACGAGTCATTTGGGCATAAGTATTGTGGTAGCGTAGGCTATGGGACCTTCAAGGCATCGTATTCTGATAGAGAGCTAGAATACATAGGAACGGAAGGCCCGGGAAAAGATCAAAACAAAACGCGAAGTGCATTGTCTGCCTTTAACATGACAAATTGTAGGCGGCGTGGCATGTTTGGTAGATGGAACATAAAGAAACATGAAGAAACCGAATCCCCTCCGTGGAAGATTCCGATCGCCATAGAGAAAATCGAGACAGTTATGATTTAACAGGAAATCGCATAGAGTCAGAACAAGAGGCCATGGAAGTCTTGGATAAAGACAGCCCAAGAGAGGCTGGCTGATTCTAAAGGTTGTCATCATGGAAAGCCATCACATCCAGACCCTCAATCACCCAATTGTCCCGATCCCAGAGCTCAACGAAGCTCGGATGCTGAGGATGCTTGCACGTATGCTCCAGTTCCTCGTCCTCGTCGTCATGCGGGTACTCCCAAGAAGTCATCAAGGCCGCGAGATCCCGGTGCGAGAGGCCTTTATAAGGGTGTTGTTGTTGGTTCGGCGCAAGGCCATGCAGGAGGATCTTGTCCCTCAACGCCTCGCGCATATGGACATTGCAGTCGGCAGTGCACGGTCCATACCCCGCCACGAGTCTACAGAAAGCGTCATGCAAGACCTTGAGATCCTGCCTGATGGCGTTGTTTCGGACTCGGTTCATCTCCGCGATCACTGCGGTAGGGAGGGGAATGTGAAGGGGACGAATCACGTATTTAGTCTCTGTGATCACACGGCTCGTATACCAGGCGAACGATTCCGGGAGGCGAAACCGATATGCGACTGAAATAATCTCCATGAGCATGGGCTGGGCTAGACGGTGTTCATGGGGGCGGACATGCTTATACATCCATTCCGTCATGTACGTCGCTACTTTGGCTCGACAACGATAGCGGATTGAGAGACTGGCGAGCTCGCCAGTCAGTGCTAAATGAAGAGGCTGGAAGTCGCGACCGTGGAGGATTTCCAGGAATGCTTGGACGGCTCTGGGGTCATAAGCGATTGGGAGGGTAAGTTCAGCGCGGCGGTTCAGCCATATATTGGTCGCAATCATTCCGTCGGCGAATGCGGTCTTGAAGACATCGGATTCTTGCTTCAAAATCTCACTATTTACTCGAAATCGAGCGACTGCTAAAAGTGAATGTCAGCTCGTCCGTATGCCTGGCGGTAGACAGGGGGCATACTCTTCCCTGAGTCGCACCAGGGCGATCGAACAATGATGATAGTATTGCTGTCTGGCTCAATAGGTACATCGAGATAGATGTCAAAATTGGGGAGAGCCAAGTAAGGAGAAAACAGATCCATAGCTAGAGAGCGCAGGTCTGATAGTTTGAGATCCGACTGATTGATGATGGGTTTTGAGAGTGTAAGTAGGCAGAAGCAACTTGGGAGACGAAAAGACAACGCAGAAAAGATCGTGGGTTGCGGTTGGAAAGAAAGGAAGTGATGAAAGACGAAGGAAAGCCAACTGGATAGAGTAAACTCTGTAATGGATGGATGAGGCACCACTGAAGGACAGGCTGGATTTTTCAAACCTGGACGGTTTGTGTCGAGTGAAATCTTAGACGGTGGACGAGCTCTTCAGGGGACTCTGAGAGAATCCTATATAATCTCTTGCTCGCTCTGGTGTCTGTACCTGTTCGCCCTGAGTACTGTGTTTAGAATTTGTTTCTGGTTGTGGTGCTGGGATACCTTTGATATTCTTTCCCATCGAGCCAGCAAGGTGCCTGTGTGAATGGCATTCACTTTCAAGCTGTATTCAACCTGACACAAAACATCCTGGTTGAGCACCTCCCACAATCTTTATCTCTCCCTCTTTCTTTCTCTTCATGCTTTTCTCTTTCCCCATCTCTTCCACTCAACACACCCTCGCCCATTTCCCCCTGTCGTGGTCGACATCTGCAAGCGAGCCGGAATGGAGCTCGCCGGAATGGAGCTCGACAACGGACCGGCTACTAGACGGCCGCTCATCATTCACCCAAACAGCGATGTGACAATTATTCTGAAGAATCCGAATGCGCCGTTCGCTCCTCTTCTAGCCAACGCTGACACCGCATCCACGAGCGCCGCACCTGGAGCCTCCGACGAAGTGCGCTTCCTCGTCTCCGCCAAGGACCTGAAATACTGCTCCCCCTTCTTCAGGAACGCTCTTGACAACAACTGGAAAGAGGCCGTTGAATACCGCAAGAACGGCTCCGTGGAACTCACAACAGAAGGCTGGGACCTCGAGACGTTCGGACTCCTCATGCGCCTCTTTCACTGGAAGAGAACCTACGGTGCAGAGGACCCCTTGTTAATCCTCAGGCCCAGCCTCCCGCACACGGACACGCAAATCGAGCCCATGGCCAAGCTTGTTGTTTTGGCAGACTACTACCAATGCCTCGCCCTGATCAAGTCATTCTATGCCGTTGAGCCGGAAAAGGTTGTCACCGTGGATCTCGACGCCGATGGCCCAGAGCAGCGTATACAGAAGATGTACCTTTTCGTCGCGTGGGCGTTCAACTGGCCGACTTACTTCAGGGCCTTCTCGTGGAATATCATGCATACCGCTAACGGGCCGATTACGGCGCTTGGACTGCCGCTTCCTGCGGAGATCATCGGTATGCACGACGTTCTCCTCAATATAATATCTCGTCCCGGGCTTGTCTGACTGTCTTGTAGACGAACTCAACCGCGGCCGCAAACTCACCCTCCGACGCATGACGGCCTACCTGAAAAAGCATTATAACTCCTACCGCGAGCGCCTCCCGTGTGAAGACACCTGGTGCCAGTCCACTCGCCTCGGTCTGCTTACATTGTTTATGCAGAGAAACCATCTCCTCCCGTCTACCGCGGACTTCAGGGGCGTCAGTGTGTACTCACTCAAGGAAGCGGCACTCTCCATGAAGAGCTTCCGTCGCAAAAGTCATGTCTGCGCGAGAAATAGGCCCAACTTGACGCCGAAGCAGATCTTTCTGCAGGATGATTTTCCGGATCTTGTTCAGGGGCTTGAGATTGCTCAATTTGAGAGACGGGATGTGGAGTGAAGTGGGTTTGTGGGATGATTGTGCTTGGTTGTAAAGGTTATGGTTTATTTCTTGTTGGGCCACCTCTCCGCTTCTGCGATACGAGTTTCTTCTGTACGGGACTTGGTTTAGTCTTGTGTTCAATGTTCGAGTGGTCTTCCCGTATGGATGCGAAGTATGGTGTCCCTGCTTCTGCTTCCGATTTCGTTCGGTCGACGACTAGATGAGCCTTCGATAGTGATCTAATACAGTGGATTTGACTCTCTACTCGCGGTCATAAGTTCCCTCTCTCGGTTGATGTAATTCCTAGCAAAGCTGTCAGCTCTTTCTCTGCAAAACATGGACGGAGGCGGCTTATTGGGTGGTGGCCCGCCATCTCTCATATCGACACAGGTGCAATGCCATCACCAGGCGTTGATTGTAAATGCACCATTATCTTTACCCACGCTGCTGATCATTGCAGTAGGCATCGGTTGAACCTCTTATCTCCGATAATTCCTCCACTCTCACTTTGCGACTCCAGCCTCAACGTAAGTCTGCCTGGGAAGGCGCGAATTCCTCAGGCGAAGGGATAACTTGAATTGATATCTGCGACTCGCCAAAGCTTTGAACTTGAACTTCCAGAGGTACAATATCGCAAGTAAGCTTTGGAAATTGGAAGTGGCGTTGCCTTCAGTCGTGGAAATTTTGAGATGGGCGTTTGTCGTTGAGGCCGCAGCCGCTCATTCTCTGCTGAGGGCGATTTCCCCTCCTCTGTCAACCCAACGCAACACAACTTGATTTTCTCTTCTCTTTTTCATCTCCCCTCTCGTCGCTCACCCAGGCTGTCATTATTGCTCAATCCTTCTTGACCCATCTCTGCGTCTTGTTTCTCGGTAACTGTTCTTGAATCCGCTTCCCCTCGAGCCGCGATGACCGAGACTCACATCCTGGACCCCAAAGGGGAGGTCACGATAGTACTCAAAACCCCGAATGCGCCCCTCGCTCAGATACCTCGCCCTCCTGAAACCAAGCCAGCGGGCGACGCAACATCCGACATGGCGAGCAATGTTATCTCTCCTTCTTCTTCCCCAGATGCCGCTGTTGCGACACCCTCCGCAGATTTGCCCAGCGATCTCGAGATCCAAGACGACAACACATCCTCCGACAAGGCCGACGAAGTCCGCTTCATAGTCTCCGCTTCTCACCTGATCCTCGCGTCCCCGGTCTTCAGACATGCTCTAACGGGTGAATGGATAGAGAGCCAGGAGCTGAGAAGACAGGGAACGGCTGAGATCGAGGCAAGTGGGTGGGACACAGAAGCCTTTCTTATCCTTCTGCGGATCATCCACTGCAAACCGTACGATCTACCTAAGGAGGTATCGCTGGAGACTCTAGCCAAGCTCGCCCTAATCGCTGACTACTATGACTGTGTTAAGCTGGTACAATGGTACGCCGATGCCTGGATCTCGAAGGTGTTGCCGTTTCGGGCTTGTTTTAGCATCCATGAGGATGGAATGCGCGATATGATCATTCGGCTGTGGGTTGCTTGGGTCTTCGATGTGGCTGAGGAATTTACAAGCTATTCTTCCTACATCATGGAGAATGCCAAGTACCCCATTACTTCACTTGGTCTGCCCATACCCGCCGGAATTCTAGGTAAGAAGAACCTCTCATATGTGTTGATCTGTACTTGGAAGCGGACTAATATTATCTTCTCCCGACAGAGCGTCTTAATCGCAACCGCGAACTTGCCATTACCTATGTGCTCACGAATATTGAGGACAAGCAATCGGAGATCCTCCGCACCAAGGATCGCTGCACCCTCGCCTGTCGGTCGATGACGCTCGGGGCTCTATCGATATTCATGCATGAAAAGCAAGCACTTACATCCGCGCCTCCTTATGCTGGTATAAGCATGGGCGACCTCTCGCGCTCGGCCAGGAGTCTCAAGCTGGGGAAGTGGAGAGAGTACATTGAGTCGGACAGCCCGCGCTTCCGATGGCACGAATGCAACTACTCAAATTTTGCGATGATATTTCTTCGCCTGCCTTGTACGTCTAAAGGGCTGGATATTATCAACTTCAAGGGCTGGTATGTGCATCTCTGCTGAATATTATCGGCGTTGAGCTGACTTGCACACTTGTCTTTCTCTTCTAACTTCCTTTAGATTCGATACCTAGATTACTTTCCCGTCCACTCGAGCCTTCCTGGAGAGAGCTTTCTCTGTGCATGCGGAATAGATAAATTCCGGCGATAAAGCGAAATGGGGAAGACTGGTTTTTGTTCTTTGTTCTTCTTATGTGACCGTGCCTCTCACCTGCAATACCTACCAGGCATATATCATGTCATCTACGGATCTTGAATCAAAGTGTTGCTTTTGCGGAGTCCTACTATTCTCCTTGTAGACAATACAACCGTTGCAAGCATTATACATGATCCATAAAGACCAATCTGATTCGGAAGCTATGCTCCCAGTTCCATAGGATAAGGTGATGGTTGATGTGGGAAATACTGTCTGGTTCCAGATGCCCTCGCCAAAATGGGCCACTTACTCACAACCTCCACCCGCTCCCTCTCTCTTCTCTCTCCCGTTCTCTCCGTCCCTGCTTTTTCCTTCAACTCCCATCTTCATTCCGTCTACTATTCATCATCTTTGCATCTCCAAAACCGCGCTTTCTTTGGTTCTGCCTCCTCTGCGATCCTAGAATGCCAGTAACACACGTCCTCGATCCCAACGGGGACGTCACTCTCATTCTCAAAGACCCCGACGCAGCCTTCGCACACGGATGCCTTGCTCCTCAGCAGATCTACGAGACCGAGACCGAGACGCCCTCTCCTTCGAATTTCGCAACTAACGGCACTTCGTTTCCTCCCTCCTCCGCGAATCTCGAAGCCGAAGCCAGAGCCAAACACCGAGCGGACGACGCGTCTCTTTCTTCTTCTTCGACTGAAATCCGTTTCCAAGTCTCTTCAGCTCACCTTATCCTCGCCTCGCCGGTCTTCAAGAGCGCTCTCACCGGGTCCTGGAAAGAAAGTGTTGAGTTCAAGACAAAAGGGACAGTTGAGCTGGTGGCTATCGGGTGGAACGAAGAAGCGTTATTGGTCTTCCTCCGAATAATCCATTGCATGCCCCTGGAATTGCCGGACAAAATGCCACTCGAAGCTCTCGCCAAACTCGCCGTAGTCGCTGATTTCTACGACTGCATGAAGCTGATCGCCTTCTTCGCGGATACTTGGCTTACGACCGCGTTAGCACCGGACTACGATTCCCTCCTCGACGAAGATAATGACAGGTTTATCCCTCGAAATACACTCCGGCTATGGGTATCGTGGGCTTTCCATCAAGAGGACGCATTCAAGACTCATTCGCAACACCTCATCTCCTACGCACGGGACTCGATCACACCCCTTGGATTGCCGCTACCGGAGACGGTAATAGGTCGGTAGATGAGCCTCCGTAACACATACCTGCCGGGACAAATGAACTGACATGGCTTTACCACTCGTAGATGCGATGAACCGCCACCGCGAAGCCGCCATCGCAGATACACTCAACCAGTTGATGGCTAAGAAACGCGAGATCCTCACGTTCAAACCTGGCTGCGACACGGAGTGCAAGGTCAGGATTCGTGATGCGTTGAACAAGTTCCTCGATAAAGATCGGCTTCATTCGGTCACCGCGCCGTATCCCGATATTAGCCAATTCAACCTGGCCTTAGCGGCGAAGAATATTCTGTCACGAGGATGGAGGGTATACCACGAGAACGACTCTAAAAAATGGCGCTATCACAAATGCCGACACTCAAAATTCAGCTGGATATTCAAGGAGCTGAAATACAGGATTCCGGGTCTGGACCTTAAGGATTTAAAGCCTTGGTATTTCTCTTTCGACTGTTCTCCGGATGACTATCGAGGACTTGCCGACTGATTTGACTGTCTTTCCTGTAGATTCCTTAGCGCCATCTTCACATTCTGCATCATCTAAATGGTGTCCGCCAACGTGGACTGTTCTACCGGATTATCTTTCACCTGAACTTCTTTCTACTCCTTGACACACGGAGACATACAGCCAGAATCTGGCGCGCTTCGATTTGGAGCTCATGATAGACCATGCTTATGTTTTGGCCCATTATACCGGCGCCCGGAGATTTCTGGGATTCCGTGAGCAGGCAACTTGTGCCCTGCTTTGCCTGATGACTTTGCCTGGGAGATTCCACCATTGTAACCCTTCGACAGAGATTCTGGATCTCGCGCCAGGATGGGCTGAACAAGGCAATGTTAGCAACCGAGCGCAATAGGTAGAGCGACGGTTGGCGACTTTTTCTGACTTTAGTTCTGCGAAGACGACAGCTTATGTTCTTCTCTCATCAGCCATCTGGCGTTCACTTGCTCCCGGACGCATTCATTATACCCTCAGAACATCTTAAATGAACGTCGTGATTTTTCGGAGTCCTATCTTGTCCCTGGCGCGACGTGTACGGTCTGTAGGCGTCGTCTCCATCCTTAGAGACCGAACTGGACACGAGACTATGAGGCAAATGCCTGGCTAGCGTGGACAATGCCGTTGCAGGCCTGCTTTTAGGATTGCCCCCACCAAGTTGCCCGTCACCCCGGGACCGGCAAAGCTGCCCAGCGCGCCCTTCACTACGCCATCACCACACAACACGTAAGGAAGCACATTCAAAAATCAAAAATAAGCCTTACTTTGATTACGGTGTCTTGCATGATCTGTTCGATGCGCAGCGTTATGTGGAGAACTCACACAATGCATTGTGGCGTTGCCGGGATCTTCACAATGCCTTTGGTGAATGGACAAGTGAATGGCGCATTCACTGAAGTCCTCACCACCATGCCCGGGTATAAATACCTCCTCATCCCCCGAGGAAAATCAACCTTTTCCCTCTCAACCCTACTATCCTTTCGTTTATTTTCCGTGCCTTCCTTTCGTTCTCCCATCTGTGTCTTCTTCTCGTTCTCAATCCTGTTTATTGTCCTGTACCCCTGTTTGACTCTTTGTATCTTCAACCCGCCCATCGTCATGGCATCCACCACCGACAACACCAAAGGTCAGGATAGCGGTGCAATCGTCAATCCAGGTGGAGATCGCATCATGATGGCCAACAACAACGGCGACCATGGCAACCACATCACCGCTCCCGATGGAGATCGCATTATGGCACCGGCCCACACCAACAACCACCCCGAGTTCCGCGTCGTCAATCAATATGGAAATCTCCTTGTCCTTCTCAAGAACCCGGACGCCTCCATCTTCCATGTGCCCCCTAGGACCAAAAAGCGAGCTCCCACCGCCAACCTCCCCGCTGCTCCATCCGTCCCCTCCGACACCAACATCCCTGCCGTCACTGCTGCCACTGCTGCCACTGCTGCCACTGCTGCCACTGCTGCCACTGCTGCCACTGCTGCCACTGCTGCCACTGCTGCCACTGCTGCCACTGCCGTCACTGCCGTCACTGCTACCACTGCTACCACTGCTACCAATGCTGCCACTCCTGCCTCCACTCGCGCTCCCGAAGTAGACTTCCTGACCAGCTCAGAATCCCTGATCAAAGCCTCTCCAGTCTTCAAAGCCATGCTCACCGGCAGCTCCAAAGAAGCCATCGAGCTATGCAACAACGGCCACCAGCAAATCACCATCTCCGGCTGGAACGCACGCCCAGTCGAGGCATTCCTGCGCACTCTTTCCCTTCAATGCATCGCCCCTCAGAACAAAGTGACGAGATTTTTCTTGCTCCCACTCAGGAATGATAACGGCGAACTGGACATCGACGCTGTCGGCGAGATGGGTGCACTCGCGGACTACTACAAGTGCCTCGACATCATCAGCTGGATCTTCCCCCCGATCCCGTGGTCGCGCCGGCTCTGTATCGCCTTCCCTACACCTGAGGAGTTTAGACAGTGCATGGTTGGCATCTGGGTGACTTGGGTGTTCAACTTGCCGGTGGAGTTCAAGCGCATCTCGGCGCATGTTATCTATACCGCGGCCGATCCGATTCAGTGTCTTGGTCTCCCTATTCCAGGCCATGTCATCGGTGCGTTACCTACCCTTCTCTCTCCCCATCGAATCCACCTAAGCTAACCATCTTCTCTCTCCCAGACGCCCTCAACACCCGCCGCATCCGCACCCTCAACCGCATCGTCTCGCGCATAAAGCAAGCCCGCAAATCCTTCCTCCCCTCCCCGCGCAACCCCAGCCCCGCCTGCCCCTTCGCCAGCTGCCAGCGAACCATGTTCAACGACTACGGCAAGTTCCTGGACATCTGCAAGATCGCGCGCCCTTCCATCGGCTATAACGGGATCAGCATCGAGGGTCTGAAGGCGGATTCCCAGTGCTTTCACCAGTATCCGCTGCGTGGTCATTGCCAGCCCATCACTCGCCCTGGGCCTCGTGTGCAGGAGTGTCGGGCTCTTACTATTCGTCGTTTCTTTCGGACCGATGGGTTTCCTGGCTGGCAGGTTCCGGATGGGCTGGATTTGAGTGAGCTGAAGCGCCAGGCTGTTTAGGTATGTACTAAGTCGACTGTGCTTCCTGGGTTTTTGTGGACGGTAGCTGATTATCTTTGCGTTTCCGGGTATAGCGAGGTGATGAACGCCCGGCGTTTGCTGTGTCTACCTGTCAACGGGCGGCGTACATGCTTCGCTTTTCTTTCTCGGTTTGTCTTCGATCGCAATCTCCTATGTTACGGCGGCATCCATGTTGTGTTGTCTTTTACTATGTCTCTTTTCGTGTTCTCTCTTCTTTCGCGTGTCCATCGGAGTGTCGGACATCCTTGGACGTCCTGTTCGACTGAGACTGCTATCACTGTGCGACGAATCTTGATTTGCCGATGGGCTGAATGTTGAAACCTCTCTGTCCGCGTTTCCACGTCTGCTCCAGGGGAAGAGCCAAGGTACTGTCCGAGGTATCTTCACGGCCATCAGTGTCTTTTTCCTATGTCAGATCATGCAACTTTTCGGGTTATCGTGTATTTTCTTCCAATAATCAGGCCGTTTGTCTTGTTTTACATACTGCCAAGTTTTTGGTCCACAAGGTCATGTACTCCATGGCGCCCTACAGCATATCTATCCCTTCGTCCCTTTGATCCACAGCACGTCCGCTGTTCCCTCGTCGGCCGTCTGCATTCGCCTAAATCTAGCCTCCTTAGCCAGCGTATTCCTCCATTTAGTTCTGTGTATTTTTCGTTTCTGAGGCTACATTCCGCTGATCTCTTAAGCATTGCGGTAGATACAACCATCATCGTCTAGGCGCAACCCAGCCTCAGCAGCGATCGTCGTTAGGTAGGGAGATGCTCTTCCTTTTCCATTTTCCTTTGAATCAGATGTTCTTCGAAAGCACAACGTACCCATGGTCCGCATCCCCTAACCATTACTAGGCAGGACTCCCTGCGTGATCCTTGAGCGGACCCTCCTCTTGAGGCCGCTTGTATCTCAATCCCCAAACTGGATCAGATCCCGACCCAAACTGCCAGTCACGCTCTATATATATTTTTCGAGTCTACTGCGAGACATCAAAAGAAAGAGATATCCCTTCAGCGATCAGCGCTACCATCCGCCGTCATATGGAATCTAGCTATCTACGGTGGCACCTACCATATTCGAAATTTATCGGTGCTTGCTGGAGAGATAGTTTATGCACGGAAAGAACTCCCCATAGCCCCGGCTTTCGATCTTGATGCATTGAAGTCTCCGTCTGCTTCTAGTTTCTCTTACCAACAAAGCGTTGCTACAATGGCGAAACGACGCCGTTATCCGCGGCATGGGCGGTTTCCGCCGACAAAGAAGTACAATGATCTGTCTCATGCCGGCCTATTCTTCGACAACGAACAGAATGTCTATGAAACTGAGATACGACAATGGGCAATGCCAATTATAGACTCGTACTGGGAGTGATCGTGCTTTTATAGAGCATGGCATCCCAATCACCCTGTCCTGAGTCGCAAACCCACCATACTACATTGACATATATCTTAACTATTCACCCGACATGGCTCTTATCCTGAACCTCTTGAGGGCGGAGCCATGTGTCTTCAACGCCATCCTTGAGAAGCTTAACTTTGTAGACCTCATGAACTTTATGGTCTCAACCCCCGCGACGGCATCCTACATCTTCGGATGGGGGGCCAAAGTGCTGATATCGAGGTCTAACGCCAACGCCTGGCCGGGCCACGTCGACTTCCAAGACGGCCAGCAGGTCACACGCTGGCACGAGGTCCAGTGGGCCCGAAACAACGCCGCAGGCGCACCCATCCCCAACCCGATTCCAGCTCTCCCGCGACCCCTACCCGCGCAAATTGTGATGACCAACCTTAACAGCGTGAATCGGCCGATCGAGTGGCTGATTCGACATGGCCACTATAATATCCTGACCGATCTACATACAAACGGCCTCTGGGACCCACTGGGCTACGAGTACAATGGAGAGAGCTACCTCGCGCATGCCGTGTATCACAGTGACCGCCCACTCCGCATCGCAGACCTGATCATCTCCCTAGCGACGAACAATGCCGATTGGCGGTACGCTATCAAACCGTACGAGGTCAACGATGTCAGAGGGAACGGAACCGGGGCGACTAACCTCGCCTTGCCATTGTCGCTCCAGCTCAAACCGCATGGTTACGAGCTGTGGCGGCGGTACTGGAACGCTGTTACCGGACCAAACATCAACGCCGCCACGGCAATACCTCAGCGCTACCGGGGTGAACTGGCTGAGCTCATAGACCGCGCCATGGCCGAGTCGCTGAGGGACAACCCCGGCGGTGGTTTGAATCTCGCGTTCTTTAACGGGGCCACCACGACGGTCTGGCACTTCGCAGGGGCGAACTATAATATGGACTTCACCGAGTTCCTTCACTATCATACGCCGGGCAGCATCGACCAGGTCGAAACCATTGCTGGATTGACGCCCGTCGAGCATTGCTACAACTTTGACTCCGACAATGTGGCTTTTATTCCTCAGCTTCTGCGCTTGGGCGCGGATCCGGGCACCATCCCGGTCCCCGAGGTATACCTTCGGGACCTCCCCAACCCACGCGATAAATTCCTGCATAGGGTCCTGGATGACATCCCCAATCCGACCACGCCTGCAAAGATTTCTGACATTGTGCCCCCGTATGTAGGCGAGGGAGGAAGTCTGCTGCATTATATCATTGTGGGGCTGGAAATCAAGTTATATGCCCTGTCAAGAAACGACCGGTTCACAGCTGCGCAGAAGAGGACTCGTCGGCGCACGCTGATAAAGCGTGCGCAGCGGTTGATTGCCCTTGTGAGGAAGGGGAATTCGAACGGGGCGCCAAATCCTGCGACGCTTGATAGACACAATCGAACGGCGTTGCAGCTGGCTCAGAGCCATGGGTACCACGAGCTTTATTATGCGTTGGAGGTCAACCCGGCCGGTCTGGCGAGGAGACATCGGTATAACTTGCGGTAGGGCGGGTGGATGCAGGCATCACTTGTCATTTATTGTATATATTGTATAGAATTCTAAGATTATAGTAACTTGGTAACTTCACAAACTTTGTTCTCTGTGCCCTCTAGAATATCAATGCCAGATTTGTTAAGCGAATGCATATCAGCAAGTATCCATATCTAGTTTGGTTGTCTCTCAACTCGATTCAGTGCGCATTTTATTTCCAGGACATTATAAACCTGCCTGTGGTAAGAAGATTGGCTTTTCTCCTTAGGCAGTGCTATGCCATGGCAGCACAAGAGATTGCCCGCCAGGTTCTTAGGTCCTGCAAGTACGTTGATCCTAGGCTAAATCTAGGGCAGCGAATGTTCCGGCTTCATGTCCTGTACTATCGTTTACCCATCCGTCCCCTACCGAGGGTAAGTTCTCAAATCGCCACAGCTGGAAGACAAGGAGCTTTGCAATTCGTACACCTTCCTACTTTATACCATAGTCTAGTTCAGCCTCATTGATCTTTGACCTTAAACAAGCGGTTATACCTCCTTTTGGCTGCTAGATATCTGTAGGTATCTGTTCCCGGGCGCCATTATTACCAACCCTGACGCTACACGACCGACAGACTGTCAATCCTTCGAACTAGGCATGAGTTGCGTAGGAGTTCTTGAGGTCCGTCTCGACTGCACGCGCACTAGGGGCATTGTTATAGAGTGCCTGATGCTAGGAACATGGTTCGGGTATCTTGTTACTCCCAGTTCGTCTGTTCCTCCCTTTCTGGTACTCGCTGGGACTTGCTAAGGATCCGGTAGATGCTCGACTTGGATTCTTCTTACAAAGAGGTATGGAATCCCGCCTGGGGAACGTGAGGCGTGCGCCTGGGTGGTCTGTCGCAGCCAACAAAGAATACTAGCCCTGAATCTACGATGAGACGATTCAGGAGGCGGCATTCGCACAAAGCATTCGCTACACATCAAACCTCTGACAACGCAATACCAATACTCATAGGTAGAGGATGAGAGACCCCTCCGTTCACCATACTATCTAATCATTACAACATGCGCTTCCTGCTTGCGCATGTCCAACACCGACTCAATGGACGACGGGGACACGGCCAGCCACCGCTTCAACTCGCCGTCTCTTTGAATCGAGACCTTGCGATGCGCGCCTCCTAAGCTGCGGCGCGGATCCGGGCCAATTGCCTGAGGCGTATCTGTCTACATTCCCCGATCTGAAGGATTAGTATCTCAATCTCCTTCTCCGGTATATCCGTGTCCCGACATATACACAGCCCGGGCCCAACAGGGGCGAAGAAACGTTGATGCACGATGTCGTCGATGCGCTGGATGTGCGTGTTTCTGCGCCGCGCTGACGAGCGGCAGAGGGCGTACCGGAAACGAAAGGCCATGGAGAGGCTGTGAAGCTGATTGTCCGTGTGAGGAGGGGGAATCGGCGAGGGCGTCCGGATTCTTTGACTACCGATTCTAGGGGCCTTACGGCGGAGGCGCTGGCGAGGTTGTTTGGGGTTCACCACATTTGTTATGCGTTGCTGCCGTCGCCTGTTCATGCGGCTGCTCCTGCGCCTGTGCCTGGGGCTGCGCCTGGGGCTGTTGGCGATGGTGGTGCCCTATACCTGTTCCAGTTGCTGCTGCTGGTCCTGCTGGTCCTCCAGGTGCTCCGGGTGCTCAACTTGCTGCCCTGCTATCGCCCGTGCAAGTGCTAGCGCAGCGCACCGGTATAATCTGCGCAGGCGCGGGCAGCTGGTTACCACTCTTGAATGCTGCTCCGTTCCTTAATAATATATAAATCAATATACAACAACGTCATCTCCAGTGTCACAGTTCCAACACTCCTCGATGTTATTTTCCACGAAGCCATCCATGTCCCATCTCAATCTACCATATCCAGGGACAAATGCTGGAAATCTGGAGCTCTATAAGCCTGAAACATAGTCGGTCTAACTGCCCGCTTTTGTTTCGGCATGTAAGCCCGCTGTCTGTGTTCCGTCCCATGTGTTGTTGCAGCCCTAACTCACTGGAAACGCGAGACAAAGAACGCTGCTCCAATCCACGTATTGCAATCAAAGGACTTCAAACAGCACTCGTGGGTTCGATCGCAGGAATGGAGATACATAGAGCCCCTAAGTCCCTTGCAGCTGGTAGATATCTCGTAGATTCAAGACCCAAATACCCTAACTGTATACGAACGTATCCCATCACCATTACCAGAAAACAACCCAACATTGTAAGACAAAATGGTAAACCCCCACGCGCCGCCCCTCCAACGCTCCGGCGCCCCCCTCAACATCCCATCCCTCCGATCCCTATGGCGCAGCATAGTCTCAAACTCCCCCACAGCGGCCATCGACAAATCCGCCGCGTACGCCATGCTCGACACGCAAAGCAACGACGACCTCCTCCTCATCATGGACAGACACACCGAGCTGATTCCACTCCTCTGGGAATACGGACTCGCTTCCACGGGCCGCTGGCAGCTAGGCGTGAGCATATTATCCCGACCATTAGACATGGAGGCCTGGCATACCGGTCGCGCACGACGACAAGGCCGGTCCCGCGAGACCGTTGCAGCCGCACTTTCGGGGATGTATGCGAGAAGCACAGGGGACAGCGTTCGAGAAAAGAGCCGAGTCCAGAAACTCCGCAAGCTAAGGGTTGAAGAGCTCACGCTCCGCAGATCACGCCTCGCGGCGCTGAGAATGGCGCTGAGCGATATGCAGACGAACGTTGGCAATAACCCTACCCTCCCCGTTCCCCCTCCAGAAACCTGGGCCTATGCGCAGACCCTCCCTGCAAAAATCCAGCGCCTGTCAGCGGACATCCAGAGCCAAATCACGCTCGTAAACAACCGCATCGCCGACGACGAGCCGCCGTTCGTCCCTGCCCTCCCACCACCGTCCCAAATCCCCGGCGGAACGAACCCCATCCCCCACGCCTGCATCCTCCAACACACGAAGAACACATACTTCCCCTACGAACGCATGATCCAGCTCGATCTCGACGAGGGCCTGCGCGCCCTAACATCCCTCGGCCTCTTCGACCCGACAGCCTTCACACATTCGGGAGTAAACTACCTGGACTACGCGCTCCGTCACCACTCCGAGAACGTCGTGCGCTGGCTTATATCTCCGCGCTCTGCGCCCCCAAACCCATCTATCGCGGGCGGACGAACAACAGCCCTACCACCCCTCTACACACCCCAAGACCTCCTAACCATCGACACCCGCATGGACGCCGTAATCGACGACCCCGACGCCGAGAACGCCTTAGCAACATGCATCCTATCCGACTGGCGCCCCATGTTCTGGGCCCTCTGGGACCACATCTCCGCCCCGGCTCCAGATGGCCTCGGCCCCTTCGATGCGTCCGCATTGAACGTCCTCGGTCCCAACGAGCAAGGCACGCTATGTTCCTGGATAACCGCCGCGCAGGCCGAACGGCTCCGCGCAACCCACAACCTACACCTCGGGACTATCCCGCCGCAGGGCGGAACAGGCGGAAGGGCGTGGCACGTTGCGGCTGCGGCTGCGAATACGGATTTCATGGCGTTCCTGGCGCGTACGGTGGGGACTGACATTGACGATGCTGATTTCCGGGGCCACAGTGCGCTGTGGGTTGCGAGTCGGGCACGGGATCTAGGCACCGCTAGGGCTTTGCTTGCGCATGGGGCGGGTATTGGCGTCGATGTTATAAAGCTCGTTCTGAAGGACCTTACCATCCCGCCTGATGTGTTCCTTACACTCTTTTTCCAGCGCGCTGGTGTGAATGTAGCACGCCAGCCATGGCTCCATGGTGTGATTCAGAACCTGTCAGATGGGATTAGGGGGTTGACGGTGCGGACGAGGAAAGACGTTAATGCGCTCAAGAGCCGGGCGCGGAGGATCATTGAGTTTCTGTACAGGGGGAATGGGGTTGCGGTGCCGGATGCGGGCTTTAGGGATAATCAGGGCCGCACGGTGGATCGGCTTGCGGTGCAGCTTGGGCTCGCGGATATGGTTTATTATCTGCAGCCTAAGGCCGGGGGGAGGAATGGGCGGGCGGATGGGGCGCCGTATCGGTTGAGGAGGAGGGCTAGGGTTGATTATAGACTGTGAACATAGAGATAGCTGGATTCGGGGTATGCTGTACATATAAGTGGATACATCTAATTGGATAACATAATTTCCTTTGGATGCTAGGTCGTCAACTTGCTAGCTACCTAAACCTTACGTAGACTTGGAATGGGAATAGGGCTAGCGACATGCACTCGCCGTGGGTCAGTTGGAGGCTGCCATAATGTGAGTGTCAATACATCTCCTTCTCTTTCCACGATACCTGTAGAAAGCTTAGTCCCTAGGCGTGCAAGATAAACGGACGGATGGGACGCCGTATCCTGGTATACTGCGAGCTGGATAGGAGGTGAGAGGGCCTGCACGGGGTATTAAGAGGAGACAGTCCCTGGGCTGGACTTGGATGTCATTTGTTAGCATGTTCCGCTAGGCCATAAAAGACAATCGGCTATATAGCCCGTCTCTATACTCCAACATCATGGTCATAAAAATGAATAATGTATATAATCTTCTGTCTAACGAGTGGGATGCAACTGGAGGAAATGTATACTCTCTAAATGCAATCATCATCTCAAAACCATTACCCTCTGTTGACACAAAGACAAGGCACTGCAAATAAAACAATGGGCTGCGGTAACAACCAACACCACAAGTCTCATTACACAAAGCACTTGATACATTCATGAGACAACAAGCCCTTTCATCCAAGTATAGCCTAGACAGTACACAAAGCATCATAGCCATAGACCCCAAAGCAAACGCACGCAATCCCAACTCAACCCCGTATATATCTTTTCCACCTAACTTCCACCCTAAAGACCCCAAAAACAGCTTAAGCAACGCAATGGCAAACAACATCATCCCCATGCTCTGGACCCGCATAACAAGCGGGTTCCCCGGCGCCGCAACAGACATCCTCTTCCTGATCCTGGACGAACTAGACGAGCTCGACCTCTTCAACCTAATGGACACGCAGCCCGCCCTGGCCGGCTTCATCCTCTGGACGTACGGCATGCGCCGACGCTGGCCGCAGCACGTCACCATCCTCAACAACGCCGACGCAGTCGACGCCTGGCACGCCGTGCGCCACCGGCGCATCCAACGCGACCAAGAGAAAGAACGGATCCGTTGGAACGTCGAGCAAGCTGAGCGCGCGATTGGTATCGGCGCGGGCCTCCCGGCGCGCGCGAATCTCGTCCGCATCGATCTCGAGGAGATGAGCCAGAAGCTTGTGCGGGCGCTGACGCAGCGGAGGCTGATCATGCAGCTGCAGCGCGAGCCCGTGCCGCGGGCATTCATGGGCGCCCCGCGTGCGAATATGACCCCGTCGCAGGCCTGGAACCGCGATCTGGCGTGGAGTATCCGGCGCCAGCTAGCGCACGACGCGGAGAACCTGCAGGCGGCCATGGCGGCAGATGAAAGACAGCTGGCCCTGTACACGGACATGATGGCGGCCGACGGCTCAACGGCCCCAACGCTGTCGACGATCGCGCCGCAGCCCCGACCAATCCACTGGGACGCCGTGCTGGCCAACGTGCAAACGGGGCTGCGCGACCTCCCGCCCATCGAAGCGCTGGTGTACAACGATGCCGTTGCTGCGCTGCGCGCCCTGCACCGTCTCGGCCTCTTCAATCCCCTTGGCTACTCGCACAACGGCACGACGTGGCTTGCTATCGCCGTCATTGCGGATTCCGTCCGTGTCGCTCGCTACATCCTCGCTCGCTACACGCCCGCCATGCTCGCCGCGCACGTCGAGCTCCCCGCCGTGATCGCCCTGCCCGCCAATCCACCCCCAATGGACAACCACGTCGTGGCCTTCGCGCGGCACGAATGGCCGGCGAGCTTCAACGCCGCGTGGCCGCGGTTCCGGCGCGCGTTCCCACCCGGCGCTCCGCCGAATTTAGCTGCCAGTTTCCTAGCCGCGCCGGACATGGAGAACCTGCTCTGGATGGTGCCGGGCAATGTTGCGGAAGAGCTGAGAGTCTGCGGCGTGGATCTCTCGACTGTGACTCCGGCCGCTGTAGCGGGGTTCCACTTCCTCGGCGGCACACCGTGGCACGTTGCAGCAAGGAACACAAACGCGAGCTTCTTCGACTGGCTCGTCGCGCAGGGGGGCATGAAGGCGCAGATCAACGCGCTGGACGGCGCGAACCGCACGGCGCTGGAGATCGCGTACCGCGGCCGGTTGGGCGGGGCGGTTGGGGGGCGCCGCATCGACAACCTAGTCGGCGCGGAGCGCCTGGTGCACCACGGCTCGCACTTCTACGCGTTCGCCAAGGACATCCTGGCCGGGCTGCCTGAGCCGCGCGGCGATGCGTGGCTGCGTATGTTTTTCCGTGCGTCGGGCGCCCGCGTCGCGGAGTACCCGTGGATTCACGATGTGCTGGAGGCGCTGGACGCGGCGGTGAAGAGTGCGGTTGGGGCCGGGGCGAGTCCGCGGTGGCGGGGGAGGCTTGTGAGGCGCGCGAAGACCTTGATTCGTTGGTTGGGCGAGGGGAATGGGGTGGCGAGGGCGAGTTTGGGTCTCAGACGGTGGGATCTGAAGAAGCCGGTGGAGGTGGCGGAGGGGCTGGGGTTGTATTCGCTGATGTATCTGCTGCAGGAACGGCAGGCGGCGGCGAATGGGAGGGCGGATCGGACGCAGTATGGGCTAAGGAATCGGGTGAGGAAGAACTATCGAGAGTGAGCGTGAGAGTGAGAGTGAGAGTGGACGACCGAGTGCTTGGAATGGTGGTGGATGATGGCAGCAATGCCGCTGGGTATGGAAGTCTGGAGCTTCATCACTTGATCAATGAGAGCAGCCTGACATCCCGCCGAACATACTTGACGCTGAAGAGGGCTTCAACCTGGAAGCAGCAGTGTCTCGGCCACTGTATGGACTGGCCATCCTAACAAAGGACTGCGAACGGGGCGCTCCTTCCTCAGAATCGATCAGGAATAAGGCAGGGCGAATGCAAGACCCGCTGTATACGTACTGCTCTGCAATTAGATAAACACATCTAAACAATGTTGTTTTTACAATTCAATTCAAACATCTAGAAGCCGTTAGTTATTTACACAGAAGATCAATCAATGACCGCTGCAACGCTCAGCGCTCAACGCTACTCCAACGCGCACCAAAGCGGCAACAGATGAACCACCAGCTCTTGGACTTAGATATTCTTCGCCGGCTCGTTCTCCGGCTCACTACTCCGCTCAGCCTCCGGATCAACCGCATCCGTCGGCGGACCAGCGTAGTTCTTGTGTCCCCAGACCCAGTACCAGACGGCGGAGATGGCGATGATGCCGACGAAGACCACGCACGCGTAGTTCATCGTCTCGAGCGTGACGCTCATGTACGTCGGGAAGTTGAAGAGGGGGATGACGAGGATTGTCCATGCTGCGTCCCGTTAGTAGGTACTCACTTGGGATTTAGGTAAAATGGGTAGGGGAAGGCAGAGACATACCCAGCGCAACGATATTGCAAAATACGCCCAAAGCCCCCAGATCGAAGCTGCCGTGCTTGATGTCCTCTCGACGCCGAAGGATCAGCGACACCGCAATCGGACACGCGTAGCTAAGCGTCAGCAGAATGACACCGACGCCCGAGAACGCGTTATACGCCGCCGAGGACCCGAAGTAGATCAGGCCAATCAGCAACTCAACCACCATCCCCAGCATCATAGAATTAAGCGGGACGTCGAGTTTCTTGTTCACGGTGCGCCACCATCGACTTCCCGGGATCGCGCCGTCGCGCGCAAACGCCCACGTGCAGCGGCTTGTGGCGGTGACGCAGCCGATGCCGCAGATCAGGCCGAGGATGATCAGGGGTAAGAGGAGGAGGAAAGTGCCGACGGAGTTGCCGATGGCGGACTTGAAGATTGAGGGGACGGGTTGCCCGGATGCCAACGCCGCCAGCTCGGCGAGGTCCGGCATCACGAAGCACACGGGGATCAGGAAGACGAGGCCCGCGATTAGGTTGATGATGATGGTGCCGACCATGGCTTTGGGGACTTGCAGGGCGGGTTGGCGGACTTCTTCGCACATTCTGGACTGTGTTAGGTGGGTTTTTGGGATGGGGGAGGGGAAGGGGGCGTACGTGATGATCATGCCCGTTGACGAGGTCGCGTAGGCGGCTTGCAGCAGGCCGATGCAGAAGGACCACCCGTCCGGCCAGCCGGTCTGGGGCTCGAAGTGCCCGAACACCCATTTTGCGTTGTGGCGGCCGTTCCTCGCGACGACGAGGAGGCAGATGTCGATGGCGACGACGCCGGCGAGGGTCCAGAAGATGGCGAATGACTGCGGCCGTTAGCACACGAGGGCACAAAGGGTAAGACAAGCGAATCTACCTCCAACCAAGGGAGCCACTTATTCCCAAACGCGGGGATGGCATGGCTGATGAGCGTGACAGCGAGGAAGATCACATAGGTATGCCAGGCCTCCCAGTCCGCCGTCAGGCCAACGCCATTCTCGTCCTCGAAGACATTCAGACAAGCGATGAAGAACTGCGCGGATCCAAAATTCACGGCCAGCGTAATCATAATCTGGCCGGTGACGTACGCCCATCCACAGACCCAGGACGAGATCCGCCGACACCAGATCGGCGCGAGGACGAAGGTCTGGTAGTAGACGCCACCGGCGGTGGGATAGACGGAGGTAATCTCAGCCAGTGAAGCAGCTACACACAGGATAATCAGCGATACGAGGACCCAGCCCCAGATGATGTTCGTTGGGCCGCCGCCGGACAGGGCGTAGGTGTAGGTGGTGCATAGGCCGTAGGGGACGGAGGCGAGGATGAAGGACATGAAGACGACGTTCCATGTGGAGCGGTTGCGGGAGAGCTCGGGGGTGTAACCCAGGGTTTCGAGGGCTGCGTTGGCACCGTCTCTATCGGAGGAGGCGGACTCTATGGCGCTATCGTTCATGGTCGCGGTCGCGGTCGCAGGGGCCCAGGGGGCGTCTTTTGGCGGCGCTGCCATTGTTGCGGGGGCGGGCAAGAACCGGAGGGCAAGTGGCGCCAGGGAGTTGTTGCGTGGGCTAGATCGGGTCGGGATCGAGATGGCGCTATGGGGGCTACCGCAGGGGCATGGTATGGTATGTGGGTGCAGTGGTACAGTACAGGCGCTGTGGCAGTCGTCCGTGGTTGAGTGAGTCTGACAGCCAGCCTGAGACAGGAGGGCGGGCGAGCCTTTAAGACAGACTGTGAAAATTTTAGGCTTTAGCGGGCGGACTCTGGCTCTGCGTTGGCCTCTCACAGCCGCTCTCTGCGCTATCACTGCGGCGCCCGCCGTTATCTAATCACGCCCATCCTGCCTGCCATTGGTGAGGCTGATGCTACCGTTCCATGGTGGAGATTAAGCTATTTACTCCCATTGGCCAGAGGCCACGCGACCCGGCGGTGGGCGGCGGTGACGTAGTGCGCCGAGACCGGGCTGGTCACGTGCGCCCCTGCCTTGAAACGGGAGAACCTCGGCTCCACTCGACGTCGCCAGGCGTCAGCTTTCTTTCCCTTCCTTTTCCTTCACGAACATCGTCGAACAGATCAGCAGTTCTCGGCATCCCGACAACTCCTGTTCTTTCCAATTCCGAGCACGTCGTTGGCCCGCGAGCACGCAACCACCGCCAGCTGCCGGAGCAATGTTCCTGCAGCTGCAGCAAAACAAATGGCTCATCGTCCCACTGGAACTCCACCGCCGTACGTCTGGCGGGCCGTGCCTGCTCCGTCTATCTCCGGACTGTTTTGCTTGTTCCAGTTAAGGAATACAGACGAGCGGCCTGTCGATCAGAACACTTTCATTACGGGACTTTTTTCCAGATCAATCTTCATTATCACCATGCCATTGATAAACATTACCCCTGGACTCCAACTACCACAAACGCAGTCCATGCTCATGCGGTAACTCCATCCTATCTACCGTCGTTCTCCTGCTCCGTGCCGGCGGAGGGGGTGTTTTTAGTATAGTGCTAGTATAGCCCTAATATTATATTAATTATAAATGTTATTATAATATTATATTAAGATGAAATATAGTACTAATACTATATTTAAATTAATATATCTTATTTTTAAATATATATATTTAGTTTTATAATATATGATATATATAACCTATATTTAAAATAATATACATTAAATTTTTAATATATATTTTTAATTAATATATATTTTTTCTAAAAAAGTATATATTTACTTAATAAAATATATATTATTTAATTTGGATATATATTATACATGTCACACCCACGGGTGCCAAGCCCCAATAAGATAAGGGAACTAATAAAATAAGAGTCACGGTAATATTAACCTAACACGCAGTGATAATATTACTACTATTTTAATAATATATTTAAGGCTAACACCCTAGCAAAAAATAATTAGCTAAAAATTAGTTTTTATATATTTTAGGCCTTAAGATTTAATATTAATTCCTTATTAAATAGCCTTTTTAGTACTTTATTTTATACCTAGTTAGCCTACTTAAGGTTTTTATAATTTTAACTTTTTTACTTATTAACTACCTATAAAATATGTACTATGCTGCTAGTATACTCACGCCTTATTTTTAAATAGGACTATTTTAATAGTCTTAAAAAAAAACCCTTTAATACTTAATAATTTTTTATTATTAAGACTATTAAAAGTACTATTATAAAAAATTATTAAAATACTCGCGAAATGCCAGTAACTTAATAATTATAAAATATAAAAAGGTATATTAAATATTTAAAAAATTAATTAGCTAAATATAATGCACCTTTAAAGCAATATTAATATTAAAATAATTTATTAAAAAATTATAATAAAATTAAAAATAAAAATATACCTAAGTATAATTTTAATTTTAGCCTGCAGCAACGCCTTAACTAGCTTGGCACTTTAAAATTAAATTTTAAAAAAGCACCTGGAAAATATAGATTAAATTAATAATAAATTTTAAAAGCTTTAACTATAATAGAATTAGTATGCAAAAGTAACTAGATTTAACATGCTAATAAATTAAAGGGTATAAATAAGAAATACCAAGGATTTTCTTGGGAATACTTTAAAAAATAAATAGCTATAATTTTAAAAAGTTTAATAACTAGTTTACTAAATACTATAGTTAAACTAGAGTTAGCTTGTTAAAAAAAAGACTAAGATTTTAGGGACTTTGCTAATTATTTAGCCATATTAAAATAGTATTTTTTAAAAAATAATAAAAAAATATGGATTTAATGCTATTTTAGCAAGCTTTTACCTTTACTTTAAAATAAAATTTATAATCTTAATAATGCAAAACTCCTAAATATTAAAAAGTATTTAGTTTAACTTACTTTATAATATTAGTTTTGTATATTACATTTACAACCTTGTATTACCTTATATTATAATAAATAATTAAAACCCGCTAAATAAGAAGAAAACACCACTAATTTAAAAGGGAATTAACATAAATTTACTTATAATAGGGGGACCTAAGAAAAAAGTTATCTTGTAAAATAAACTTTTAAAAAAAGTTATAATAAAATACCTGCGGGACAAGCTTTTAATATAATAAAATTTTTTTAAAGTTGCACTAGAATAATACTAAACTAAAATTAATTAAAATTAACTTTTATAATATATTTTAAGTATAAAAAACCTGGTTATATTATACTTAATTATATAAAACTATTATAAAACCCTAACTTTTAACCAGTAAATCCTAATTAAACTACCAAAGTTTATAAAATAGTGGTTAAAAACCCTTAAAATAAAGAATATTATAAAAAAAAGTAAGATAATTAGTAAAAAAGTAAGTATATAAATTAAAATAAAAATAAAATATATAAAAAAAAAAATAAAAAAAAGTTAAAGTAAAGTCTTATACCCTAGCTTAATATTTAAAAATAAAGATAGGTAAGTATTTTTAAATAAAAATAATAGTAAAAGCTCCGCGGGATAAGATTAAAACCAGGGCGGACTTAAATATTAAAGTAAAGGTAAATATAATAAGTATAAAATTTATTAAGCGTGCTTATTTAAATTAAGCAAAACTTTCTTATTTTATTTTAAAGGGATATAACGGTTAGCAAGATAATTTAAAAAAAGTATAGAAAGTACCTATTAAAGTTACTAATTTTAGGGGTACCATAAAAATATTTAAATAGCCTTATATGGGAATAAAGCAAACTAAAGTTAAATACCTAATTATTTTTTTTATTATAACTATCCAAGCCATGTATATTTATATAATAATAAATTAATAGTAATTTAGTAATAAAGTAGTAAAACACTAAATTTTTAAATAATATAAGTTTATAAAGGCTTACAGGAATTAAGCTTATATATTTATTATTATTTTTTTACCTAAAAAAGTTTATAATAGCGGCAAGTTAAATTAAATAAATAATTTACCACCTAAACTTAATATATTTTAAGATGTATTTTCCTTACATAATATAAAAATAATATTTTTAAAGTTAGTACCTACGCATGGTATTATAATAATAAATAGCTAGTCACCTTTTTATAAGCTAATTTACCTTTTTTTACCTGCTAAACTAGCTATATTACGCTAGTATATTAATAAAAATATTTAATATAGTTATATTAAACCTTCCAAAAGTCCTGCCGGAGCACCTATCCTTTTTATACCTAAGAAAAATAAAGGCTTATAATTATATGTTAATTATTAAGGGTTAAATAAAATAATAATTAAAAATTAATATTTTTTACTTTTTATTTTAGAAATTTTTAACCAAATTTCGGGAGCAACCTGCTATACTAAAGTTAATTTAAAAAATGCTTATTATTATATTTAGGTTTGTAAAGAAGACTAATAAAAAATAGCTTTTTAATATTAATATAGTTACTATAAGTATACTATTATGCCTTTTGGTTTAACTAATACTCTTACCACTTTTTAAAGTTATATTTATTTTATAGTTTATGATATTTTGGATTAAATTTATATTATTTACCTTAATAATATTTTAATTTTTTTTATTAACCCTAAGTAATATATTAAATATATTAAACAAGTTTTTAAATAGTTACGCAAGGCTAAATTATTTGCTAATTTAAAAAAATATACCTTTTTTAAAAAAAAGGTAAAATTTCTAGGTTTTGTAGTTAATTAAAACGGTGTTAAAATAAACCTGGAATAAGTAACTATTATAACCTTATAAAAAGAACCTTGTTTTTATAAAGCCCTGCAATTTTTTTTAGGTTTTATTAATTTTTATTATTATTTTATTTATAATTTTGCACGAATTACCTTATTATTAACTAGTTTAATAAAAAAAATATAGTATAAGAAGAAAATTAGGCCCCTGTAATTTTAAAAGCATAAAAAGCTAGTATTTTAATTTTTTTTTAATGCCTTTATAAAAGCCCCCTTGTTATGTTATTTTAACCCTATATAAAAAAAATAATTAAAAGTAGATGCTAGCAACACGGGAATAGCTAAAATATATTTTTAACTAAATAATATAGGAAAATATTACCTAGTTACATTCTAGTCTTATAAATTTATTAAAGCAAAGATTAATTAGTTAATCCTGGATAAGGAACTATTTACCATTATTTAGTTATTTTATTATTAAAGGCAATATTTTAAAGGTTCCCCTTATAAAATAACAGTATAATTAAATTATATAAATTTTTATTTTTTTATATAGCAGTAAAAGTACAGCGAAAAGCAAGTAAAATAGTATATAAATTTAGTAATATATAACTTTAAGATTTTATATTATTTAGGCAAGTATAACCCTATAAATGCCTTATTTAAAAGGTATGGAAGTAAGACTAAATTAGTCTTAAAAAAAGATTTTTTAGCACCTATTAAAAAAAAAATAGTATAAAGTATTAAAGTGTAAATAATTACTTGCCTAGACTTAATATAAAGTTTTTATAAAAAAAAGCTTAATCTAGATAAAAAATAAGATATTTAAGTTTAAAATATTAGGTGTAACAAGTGCTTTAATATTTTTTAAAAATTTTTTTATTTTTAAAATA